CCTCTTCTGACCTTCACAGGCACTTGCGTGCATGTGACGCCTGCCCAAACACACAGGCAGGGAAAAGACACACACATACACACACACACACACACACACACACACACACACACACCTTTAAAAAAAGAAATAAAAAGGAGCTGGGCAAGGTGGCACACGCCTTTAATTCCCAGCACTCAGCACACAGAGGTAAGATGATCTCTGTGAGTTCGAGGCCAGCCTGGTCTACAAGAGCTAGTTCCAGGACAGGCTCCAAAGCTACAGGGAAACCCTGTCTCGAAGAAAAAAAAAAGCTCCTGAAGGCCAATTAAATGTCAACGGTGTTGTGAATGGCTTGTCTTCTAACATTAATCAGCTGTCAATTTTTTAATGCATATTAATAGATATTCCAGTTATGTGTCCCAGCACTGCAGCTGTGCGCATTGTAAGAACGGGCAGATGTATACATACAATTCAAGATGGCTGGCTGCAGTGAACACTGTCCCAGAGAATATGGTATACATGTACCATTGCGAATGTCTATTCAGCATAGTGTTTTTCATTGAAATGACAAGAATATATATTTACTCAGAATGTGCATTCATGCTGGCCACAGGGAAACAATCCGTTATGGCTTTCTATAATCGAAAGTATCCCTGATGGAAGCCTGCCATACCCCTGGGCTTCTCCTATCTCTAAGGCATAAAATCAAGCTGACACCTTTCCAGAGTTTTATGTAATATGTACTACTATTTAGACTCCTTATTAAGCCAGTGAGGAATTTTCATTAAGCCCCAATTTGTAGCTGCCACTCTGGAAAAAGGAACCATGAACAACCATCTCCTGGTCTGTGCTACATTATATAACCACACCACCTTACATAAGCCTGACCCTCAACAGAAAGGTATTGACGGAAGGGTAGGTTTGCTCTGGAGAATGTCTGCTTTTAATTGGATTTGTCAACACGAAGAGCATTACTCTCAAGTGTTTTGTGGACAGCCCTGTCTCAGGGTTCCCTTTGAGTCCCACATTTTGTTCTGCCAAGGGCACTTTTGTGTTCTACATACTACTCCAAATAATCATCACCAATGAAAAGATTAGAAGGAATATGAAAAAAAGAAATAACTTGACCAAACGGTACTTAGGGAATATCTAAAATAATTTTCATTTAATGAGTTATACTGTCAGCCTCACAAAACTTTGGGATTTGGTGCAAACAGACAGTTGTCACTAAGCTACAAAGGAAGTGGAAACCTACTGAGGTACTTACTCCAAAGGGATGATTCTTGACACTTTAATGACTGGACATGTGACAGCGAGCAGACAGTTTGCAGGCCAGAACCCTCAATAATATCAATCCAGTTTATCATCACTTTCTTTCCACATCTACCTTCGTGAGCACCTCTCGATGCACAGACCATTTATGACAAGGCTATAAACAGGTCTAGTTTAAAATGTATCTAAATGCAAGATAGAGATGTCAAGAATGTTTACACCTTCTGGTTTCATTACCTCCTTTGCAAACCAGGAATTACTTTATGCTGAATTAACTGAAAGCCAGTACTCTGTAGTAGCAAAGACGAGCAACATGTTTTTTTTTTTTATATTTATTTATTTTGTATACAATATTCTGTCTGTGTGTATGACTGCAGGCCAGAAGAGGGCACCAGATCTCATTCCAGATGGTTGTGAGCCACCATGTGGTTGCTGGGAATTGAACTCAGGACCTTTGGAAGAGCAGGCAATGCTCTTAACCTCTGAGCCATCTCTCCAGCTCCCGAGCAACATGTTTTGACACCACAAAGAACGGTGCAGAGTAGTGACAGTCTGTGACCCAGTGAAGGCAGGAAGTCTGCAGATGACAGAACCGTCCTGTTTAATTTCAACAGCACGAGCCCTAGAGCAAGCGTCCGCTATGATCCATGTATATGTCCCTAATTGTTAACTGATGTACAGGCTATATGAAGCATGGTGCCACTTAAACCCACTGCTACCTCATCCTGCTAGCATGGGAGAGTAAGGCCAGTTTCCCAGAGCTAAGTCCCATTTTCTGGACTGTTGTATATACAAAATTCTAAGTGATAAAAGAAAATACAGGAATTCTGAAAACACACAGCAGAAGGGCGGCTCCTTCCAGATCACAACCCAGGACAGAATATAGAATTCTTTCCTTTAAAAGCCCCTAGTGCTTGAATTGGCTTTTTGGAGCCCATTCTCTTTGGAGGGATACCTTGCTCAGTCTAGATGTTTGTGAGGGGGGGGAGGGGAGAACGGAGGTGTTTGGTCCTGCCTCGTGCCAGACTTTGTTGACTCCCCACAGGAAACCTTACCCTCTGAGGAGTGGATGGGAGCAGATGAGTGGAAGATGAGGAGAGCAGGAGGAGGGGAGGGAAAGGGAACAGGGATTGGTATGTAAAATGAGAAAATACATATATTTTTTTAAAGTTTCAAGTATATTTTGTGGTCTCCAGGTTTTATGCACTGAAAATCATGCATGCATACATGACGTAAAAGTAGACACTGTCTACAGCAACAAAGAAGGTGCGGTGAGGAAGAAGTAGGGGTGTGTGTTTAATGTGAATATATACTTGTATGAAAACTAATCAGCAGCCGTGTACTGGAAGGGAGGGATCTGGTCCTCGAGATAACTCACTTTAAACTGAAAGAGAGACTGAATTAGTATCTGGCTATTCCTAAGATGATTTTTTTTATGATAAACAATAAATCATAAGTAGAAAGTAATAATTATAAAATTAAATTACACAAAATTGCATAGCTAATTATTACAATTGTGCCTTTCATGTGTGGATAAATTATGACCCCTCTAGGTTTTCAAATGGATTTCTCAGAAAATTCAAAGTCAAGTTACTATACTTTCTTTTAAAAAAGGGGAAAATAAAAACCCAACACCCCTTTGTTCCCAGCACTCTTGAGGGAGAACAGGCAGAACTGTTCAAGGCCACCCTGTTCTATAGCAAGCTCTAGGCCAGCCAGGCCTACATAGTGGGGACCCTGCCTAAAAAACAACCCTGCCCCGTGGCTTTGTTGGTACTTAAACACTTACATAAATAGACACTAGAATCTCAAAGCAAAAGACATGAGCGTGGAAGAGGTTAGTACGCACAGGTCTCCGCATGAACAAGAATCTCGGAGAGTCTGAAACGTTTGAAGAAAAACTCCACATGTAAGACAGACATCCAAAATGGCTCAACATAATTTATTTTTTTATGTTAAAATGTACAGAGTTCTTTTGAAAGTCCTTGCTAGAAAGGGGGAAAGATATTACATACAAGGAGAGGAAGGGAGGCTACCTGGCCAGGAGCGCATGACATGAGAAATACAAAGGCGTCTAGGCGTCCCTCCCCTCACCCACGAGTCACCAGGAACAAAGTACAAAGAGGTTACAAACAGGAAAGCAAATGTAAACAGACAGGATAGACTTAGTTTGTACATGCGGCTTTTAGAGGCATCTGGAGCTCTATTCACACTCTCTAGAGATCTCTTTAAAGAGGATTTTTATCTTTCTTAAAATAGTTTTTAATATTCTACAACAAAGATAAAAAATTTTAAAGATGGAATGAAATGAAAAGCTCTTATTTTAAAAGGCATCAAAGTCACTAACAAGTGAGTTTTTAAATTTCTTTTTTTAGAAGATTACCCAAGTTATCTTGCTAAAAATACATTTTTTTTTAAAACAGAAGTGAAAAAATGACAGGTACCAATATTACCATGTTGGATAATTTTCTTTTATAATATAGAAAAGAACATATTTTCTACAATAGTTCTACAGTCACAAAGAGGCTTGTGGAAAAGGGAGCTGCCTGATTGAATTTAGAAAGAAAGGAAAAAAAAACCACAACTGCAAACCAATAGAAACTGAATTCACGGCCCTCATTTCAACAGCTTCTCCTTCTGCCTTACCCACCCTCCTCCCCAACAGACCTCCCTCCCCTCCCCCCATCCCTGCCCCATCCCATCCAGGAAGCAATGACATAGCTGAAGATGTGGGAGAGGGCAGCACAGTGCACATTCTACAGAGATGACTGGGAACTGGAACAGTATATACAGAGAACTGGGTCCTACGCAGCCTTGCACATGCTCAGAGTCGTTAGCGGGACAGGGTGGAGTTCTGCTTTTCTATCTAACACGCTTAATTGAGAAAGCCAATTAAGGTATATAAAAAAGCCCAACAAACCTGTGCATTTGAAAAAAATGTAATGCCTAATTAGTACTTTAAAAATTTATCTATATAAAATGTACAAATAAAGGAGAGAATTTATGCTTACAAGTATTTCTTTAAGCATTATGTCCTCCCTTTGGATATTTGACTGCACATACCAAGTGGTATAATAGTTTCCATCTTCTAATGATGGAATATATAATGTATATATATAATTATAATTATATATATAATTTTTTTAACCTATCCCTGGAGCAAGTGAGAAGAGAGTGGGCGAACTAGTTAAACACGCGAGCGAGTGTCCTGAGCCCGGCCGCCCAGATGTGCCCTACGATGCTGGTGGTGAGGCTCTCCTTGCTCATCACTCGCAGGAGAGCGGCTAGTGCACACTGGTCCATGGGATGAGCTCAGGACCTCAGAGCCAACAGAAGGAGAGGTAATGCATCATTTACGCAGCTATAGAAGTCACCATTGTCTCCCTTTGGACTCATTCTGTACCAGGTGTTTTCTAAATCACTGATACTCCAGTCATTCATGAAAACTATATGGATAAAATGTGCCAGGCAAATCACAGGGCTTGCTCTGAGGGTTCCCAGAGTCAAAGGTGCAAGCACAAGACCTCAGTCCACATTTCCAAGTACATACTACACAAGAGGTGAGTGGAGTGTGCATGTTATGGCTGATTCACCAGGTGGTAAAAACCAAGAGGTGCATCCCTCTTTCTGACTGGTAACTGACCATCTGTATCCTCCAAAGGCTGGAGCAGAACTGCAAACAGCTTTCCTCTGAGATTCTGCTGTTAAGTGAGACTTACAGTATTTTTGTGTCTCTGAGTGCTGAGTGGGAATATTAAAAAAAAAAAAAAGAATTATATTACACTTGATTCAAGAAAAACAGGTATTTCAATGAAATCTACCTAGAAACACTCTTGGGGAAAGGTTTCCAGAGGTGTGTGTTTGTACAGGGAGGGGAGGGAATTTTACAGGAGAAGCATTTCCTGCCTCACTTTATTATTAATAATAATAATAATAGCATTATGTTTCAGGAGCTTGGGATGCTCTCCATATCCCCATCCCTACTCCCCTAAGTGCCTCCTGCTGGAATGAAGTGGGCAATGAAAGGTTGGGTTTGGAGGAAAGGGTCTGGCTGACCCTTGAGATGTATATATAACATTTAAAAAGGACAACATTGGGAGCTGCAGACAGTGAGGGGAAACATACATTTTAAAATAAAATAAGTTCACGCTTACATAAATTCTGTTCATGTGGTGTATAAAGAAAGTAAGGCTCCTTTTAATTATGAAAAGATTTTGTGCATGTTTCCCCACCCAAATCCATTTTTAGATGAGTTCTACTGTAAAATGTTCAAGACTGAAGAAAACAAAAACCCAGAACAACATTGAACCCCCAAAAAAGAGATCAGGTTTTCTAAAAACAAAACAGTAATAATAATAATAAACCAAAGAAAAATTCCTCTAATTCTACAGTAATATTTTAACTGGAAAAAAGGTCCGTTTTTTTCTCTGGTTTGTCAGTATAAAAAGTTCCTTTATTTATATATATTTAAGATTTTAACTGCAAGTTCATCTCGCTCATCTTCTCATGTAAGGTCCATTAAGTGACTGCTTGGGCACGCCAGCAGCATTCATATAGCTGTGATGGGAGGGGCCAGTGTACATCATGTTTCCATGAGGGTTTGGCTGCATAGGCTGCTGGGTATAGGCCTGGCTCCCCATCATTCCCATCTGCATCTGCATAGGATACTGTGCTGTCTGGTTCATGTAGGCAGGGTTACTATGGTAACTGCTATTCATCATGGGTTGTGTCATTCGATAGCTGTTCATGGCATTCAAGGTGTTCATATTCATGGAATTGACATTATAGGCTGGAGTGGGCATTAAATTAACCCCCATGTTCATGCCACGCTGAACAGCCAATGCTCGAGGGCCAGCCTGCATGGCAACTGCTGACGGGCTGCGGCCATATAGTTGTTGTTGGTGTGCAGTTGCAGAGGGTAAAGGTGCAGACTTGGAGCGGATAGAAATGTGCCCCTTGACTGGCATCTGCCCTTGCAACCTCTGAGTGTGAGGAATGCCAATGTTGGTGGCAGACATGTTGCACTGTAGCAGAGGTGATGTGAGGTTCATAGTAGTAGATGCCAAGTTTGGGGGTGGAGTCATGGTGGCTTGTGCTTGAGGGGTCCCAGCTAAGGGATGAGATGGAGCTAGCTGAGCCAGTCCAGTATTAGACAGAGAAACACTGGTTGCATAGGAAGTCACAGCAGGAGAATGGCTGTAAGGCATGGCATGAGGGTCCATAATGGTGTTAGTCAGCTGCTGCAGCTTGGCTAGACTGAAGGTGGCTGATGGCTGAGAGTAGCTGCCAGCACCAAAATCCCCTGGAATCCTCTCATAGATGCTGATGTTCCCAGTGCTTCCAGACTCTGGTATCTCCATAATCATTGGAGCCGCAGTGAAGCTGTTGTTCATACTGCACTGCGACAGAGGAGGCTGCTGCTGGGGCGGGGGCGGGGGCTGGGGTTGTGGGGGTGGGGGCTGCTGTTGCTGTTGTGGCTGTGGTGGGGGAGGCTGTGGTGCCGGTTGCTGTTGTTGTTGCTGTTGCTGCTGCTGCTGTGGTGGTGGTGGTGGTGGTGGTGGTGGCGGCGGTGGCTGCTGGTTACTGGGAGGCCTTTCCACCACACAAGTCTGAGGTGACTTGATATTACAGTTGGCAGCAGGCTGGACACTGCTTTGTTGCAGCATGCTGCAGCTGTTGCCCATGTTTGCCATTTGCTGAGTAACAACACAACTATTCTGGGTGAGGCTGCTTGAAGACGACAAACCACCATAGGAGCAGCTACTCTGAGAGGAGTTATTCCCACAGATGCTGCTGCCCATGGTGGAATCATAGCTGCTTGGGTTCTCATAGTTCTCTGTGGTACTCTCGATGCTGCCCAGGTCACTGAAGCCACTGTCCACCACCTGCTGAGAGTGGTCTGATACGGAAGGCACATCCATCATGGGGCTGGTCTCCATGTTCTGCATAGAGGGTGCGGACAGCGATCCTTGCTCTGGGCTGATCTGTGTATAGCCACTCTCCAGGGCAGGCACACTGGGGCTGCTAACTGAGCGAACTGATTGACTGGGATGAGATGGAATGGAAGATATTGGGCTATTATGCTCGGAAGCATGACAGTCTTCAACTATTGACATCTGAGGGTCCTCATCAGTGTGGGTGTAACTCTGCAGAGTCTGGCAGGCTGCAAGAGTTTCCTCACAGTCCTGGTAGGCTCCTTCATGCTCACTGCTTTCTTCTTGAGTCAAAGACTGCACCGCCTGTACAGTTTCCAAGTCCAATTCACTGTGTGGAATCTCTTCCTCTTCTTTTAGCTCAATTAGTTCTTCTTTAGTGTTTGAGTCTTCTTCGTGGTCCTCCTCAGACCCCGGCATGGTCTCTGACACCACAGATGCCTCATGGGAAGGCTGTTCCTCTTCAGAATCCGGCTCAGTTTCATCCTTATCCTTTATGTTCTCCCTACTGTCCTGCATGTTTGCATCTAAAAAAGACTCCTGGATGCCAGGCTCCTCCTTGGGGTCTCCTCCAGCTGCCTGTTCCTCTGGCTCTTTTGTCTTCAGGGAATCTGGATGGCCATCATCCTCGTCGTCAGCATCATGGTCCTCATTCTGGTTTGCCTCTGCAGTCACTTCATCGTCTTCCTCTGGCTCCTGTTCTTCCAGCTCTGGAGGCTCTTCCTCAGATTGCCTCTGCTCTTCCAAGGGCTTCTCATCTTCCTCATCTGCCTCGGGTTCTTTGGGTTCTGCCTCAGGACTGTTGCTACTGTCCAATGGGGACATGGCTCTAATGTCACTGCTAGTTGTGTCCTCTTCCTCCTCAGCCTCTTCGTCTGCTTCTGTATGCAGCTCCTCCTTCCTTTCTTCCAACAAGGGCAAGTCCTCCTTTACCTCAACGATTTCTTCATTTTCTTGCGTTCTGGGTTTACGTCCAGGTTTGATGGGAACTATGGGCTCAATTATGCATTCTTGTGTAGAAACAGCTATGATTTCCTGATTCAGTTTAAATCCTGGTTTTCGTCCAGGTCTTTTCTTCCAGTGGATAGGTTTTCGGCTCTTGCCTTTGGGCCATCCCTTTTTCTTTTTCATAGGTGTAGAGGTATCTGGCTCAAGTGAAGCACTGCTTACATCACATTTTCGCAAGAGAGATACTGGCTTTAGGATAGGAGTGTCTGTATAGAAGAGATAAGAAAGTAAAGACAGGTTACAAGATCAGTATTCCTCTGAGACCAACATGTAAACAGAAGAATCTAAGGAATAAAGCTAATTAATGATATGAAAGGGCACACAATAAACTATCAAACAATGACACCATCCTGGGCAACATGATTCTGCCACCTACTAGGTAAAAGTAGTTTGAGATCAAACTCTATGAAGATGCCCGAAACAAGCAGCAAGAATGTGTCAACTCTTAAGTTACAAATCAGCTTCTTCTGTTTCCTTTTCTGTAACCTCTTTGGTTTATTTGTTTGTTTGTTTTAATTTTCACAAATTGTTACTTGAAGTGGGATTATAAGCCAATTCCTGCATACCACAATTGAGCCATCCCCTGTAAACAACTGTCAACGGGTTTATACGGGAACAATTGCAAGGCATTTAGTCTTAAACAAAGACTGGCATGTAGTGCTAAGCAAATAAGGAAAAGTCAAAGTGCCAATAACAGTTAGAAGGGAATAAATTCAGCATTGGCATTAGTTTTTCCTAAATCATGGCAAAATATATGTGAGATAAAACGTTAATCATTTTAAAGTAGAGTTCGGTGGCATTAAATACATTCTCAATTACTATTAGTTTTTAAAGGCTATGAACACTGAGGGAGTGTCAAAGGTACGTTTGTGGTACAACTGGGGAATCAACAAAAGCAATAGTTGTATGAGAGAAAACTGTCAAGGTCATGGGAGCTTACATGTGGGACACTATTGTGACACACGGTGATCAAAGACAAAGCACCAAGTGCCAGTTCACGCCAAAAAAGGGTGAGTTTCCTAGATATATATCAATATATAACAAGAATAAAACACTAGATCATGATTTATAACAAAACAAAGACTAATGATTACTATATTAAAAGCACATATCATATAATAAGCCTTAAAATAAGAAAAATGTGTCAAGTATGGTGTGAATTTCAACACTTGGGAAGCTAAGCTAAGTCACAAATATGAGGTCAGCTTGGGCTTCATATCTAGACTGTGTTACAAATACTCATAGTTCTTCCCATCGTATGCACACTCACATGCATGTACATGCAAACATACACATACATATATACATATACACACAAGTACACATGTACACATACATACATAACACACACCACAAGAATTTGTTTGTTTTGGTTCTAGGGACTGAATTCAGGGCCCATCACCACCGAGTTCAATCTCTTGTCAGAAAATCCAAGTTCTATCTACTAGATTTCAAGCCAAGATTTTAAGAGAATAAAATAAAAGGTTCTACTAAATAAGGCAAAAGATAAAGTAAAAGAGTACAAAGCAACATTGAACAACTGGATTTTATTCAAATTCAGCTGTGAAAATATTGAGGCCATTCACACAAACACAATGCAGGCGTGAGGCGGCACAATGCTTCACCACACCTAGGCTAGGATGCCAAGGTCTAGATTCTTCCTACCTCACACCATGGGAACCTCAGCAGCTGTATCTCTGGATGTGAAGTAAAATAAATCTATTTTAAAAGTAAATGACTGGTAGTTTGGCAAGATCATATACCTTAGCCTGTTCTGTTATTGTTGCCAATTATGAGAGATGCATAGTTGGTTGCTGGGTTGTGCACCTGCAACCCCAGAAGAGAACAGGCTGAGGCAGGCCAGACCGCTGCATAGCAAGAGTCAAAACAGCAAAAAAGAAATGACTACTGACTAAGATACGTTAAAGACTTGATTCAGGAAGGTTCTCGACAGGGGAGGAAGTTCCTGTTGATACTCAGTGTGCCTCCTCAGCATTCACCCTTTCAGCAGAGGTAACTGAGCACCTGTCTTAAACACTCAGCATGCAGCAGTGAGCAAACAGACAAACACCAGAGACCACACAGCCTAGTAGCCAGCTACTCCACCACCCTTTGACTGAAGACTCAGGTAAAATCCTTGGCAATACTGGGCAAAAAGAAGAACTTCCGATAACATATCCTGAAATGCTAAGAGCAGGTCCAGATTACAGAAACTAAATGCAAAAATGGATATGGATATATTACACGCAACTTGCAGAGGTCCCTAACCTTCCCTTCCTGCCTTAGCGAGTCACACTCATTTTCAACCCTTTGTAGAAGGGTTTGTAGCTGTTCCTGCTATCTATTTAAAGACACAAGAAGTCACTGTAAGAAACAGTTCTATAAACATACCATCCACATCATCTGACTCCTCTTCTTCCTCCTCATCTTTAGCTGGCCTCTTTGAGGAGGACTGACACCTAAGGACATCCTGTGAGGACAAGCGATGAAAGTACCCTCTGGGGAAGAGCTCATTTTCATCCTCGTCCTCCTCTTCTTCATCAATCTCAAATGTAGGCTCCAGTCTCGGCATTGGTCTTTCAGAGTCAGAATCTTCAAATGGTTCATCTAACACCTCAGTGGTCTCAGAAATAGTTTCTGTGACTACACTGCTATTGTGGTGCTTCCGCTTGCGGACTCTTCTTCTTCGGTGAAGAATTGGTTTCTATTTAGTAAAGAAAGCAAATATTTTATTTGTAGTAATAAACACTTTCTTCTGCTATAACCAAAAATTTTAAAATTTTGCAAAACTAGCATATTTAAAATGAAGATGCAGCTTGCTGAAAGATATTTTGGTAAAGATATAATGAAGTATTAATCATAGAGATATGGGTCAGTAAGATTGCTCAGTAGGCAAAGATGCTTGCTGGGCAACCTGGGCAACCTGACAACTTGAGCTCAATCCTTGGATCCCAAGGTAAAGCAGGGGTGTGTGGGAGACCTAAATCCTCAGGGTTGTCCTGACCTCTACATACCTGCTATGGCACAAGCCCACACACTCACATCATACACATTCAATGCATTCGTGTACACACACGTACACAAAAGGATTTTAGATATTAAATGCAATTTTAAGATGTAAAAAGCAAGTGTGTCCAAAGAGTGGATGTTGTTAGTGCATTATTTTTAGTTCAGTTAAATTGTACACTCTAAGGAGTCACCTGCTTCAACACTGAAGTAACTCAGATATCACTCCCTTAACTTTATTTCAAGAGCAAAAGGAATAGAAACATTGCACCTCACACACCACCATGCAGTCAGTCTACTGATCAATAAATAAGCATGACATGTGAGGAAACCAGTTAGAGAGCACAGAAATGCAGAGCTGGAACGTGTTCACCTGGTTGAAAGGGAAAGCAACAGCACCATAAGGAGCATGGTACATCTTTACACTGGCCTGACCTAACAGCTGACAACCCAAGGATGACTGAATCACTAGAAAGGTTAGTACTTACTCAATGTCACGTCTAAGCACTGCTGCAGAACCATATATTGAGTCTCCTTTAAGTGAATTTTGAGATTATCTCAGTGCTTTGCATACAATTTCACTGCTGTTACAATATTCATGGTTTTTTACAAAAGAAAATAGCATATTTATTTTACCACATAAATAGGAAAAATAAACCCTAGGATGGCAAAGATATACTCTTTATGATCATGCAATCAACAGTAAGGATAATCAGTTTAGTTTTTCTCTACTTCAAAATATACTGGGAATTTTCAATTACATTAAAAATGGCTCTGCTCCTTAGAGAAGGTGATTCTACAGCTGAGGCAAGAAATATCCAAGATAATTTTAAAATATCTTGCAGTGTCAGAGAGGGCTTAAAACAAAACAAACTCCTAATGATGGTGACACTAGGAATATAAACAGGAGCAAAACTAAAAAACCTCTGAATAGCCAGTGCTGGGTGGGATGAGTTAAGACACAAGTTTAAAATAGCGTTACAAAGGCCCTTACTGATAGAGACAGCAGAATGGATACACAACCAACCTATGCAGACACTGCTCCTATAAGAAGTAGTTACACATATCTTAAGTGTGATTTGCATGGTGCTTTCCTCCACTACTGTATGGGGGCGGGGGGCGACAGTAGAGAAACCCAACAGGGTTAGTTTAGCATCAACAACAAATGGGTATTTACCTAGTTCATCACGCATACGATACTCTATACTACCTACTCTACCATGTGACAACAACAGTGTTTCTTTGCCTTCCTCTCAATACACTGCCTCATTCTAACTGGTGCGGGATAATGTATGAAATACTGAACCTCACAACCTTCAAGGCCATCTCAGACAAAGTCTGAGAAACAACCCAGAAGAACTCAAAGAGAACACTAACTGTAACATGGAATGCTGGTTGGGATCCTGACCAGAAAAAGGCCATTTAGATAAACTAGAAGTCTGAACAAAGAAGGTCTACTAACTAACCAAGTGTTGTAGATGACAAACTGTGACAAGTGTTTGGGACATATGGGAACCCTGCGTAGTGTCCTTGCAATAATGGTGCAAATTTGAAAACATCCTTAAAAGGTTCTTCCTTTAAACAGCCCTGCTACAGAAAGGAACAATTTCATGGCTTTAGGGGAAAGCTGACTCTCATGGTTAGAACATGTCAGCCTGCTTCTGACTGGGTGAGCAATGTGGAGGAACACACCACAGTCTGAGATTATGACTAGTCAGTATCTCCCCCCTCCCCCAGGAATTTCACTTTCCACGCGTTCATGAGTCTGAAGTTTCAAGTTTATAACCTAACACACATGACCCTGGGTGTGCTCTATTTCAGAACTGCAGGACAAACAGACCTACATAATAAGTCACAGCTACAGGAGGACAAGACACAGAGACGCATCACCTTTCTTTTCAGTGTGGGCTTTGTGAGGATTGGTGGCGAGTTTGAGCGAGGACTTTCTGGTTCTTCCTCCTCCTCACTACTCTCGCTGAAGCCTCTGAAGACAGCCCTGTCCCCGTCACTATAGCAGCACGGCAATCTATCGTTCCCTTCTGGCACTCTGCACTTCAGGCTCTCGGGGCTTTTCTTCAGCTGGCCTCGCCACAGCTCAACACTCTCACTCAATCTTCCCTTGGGGATGTCAGCTTTCCCAGCTGGTTGCACCTGAGACGTTGCTGACTGTTCCTCAATTTCAGTGTATTGTTCTTGGGAGGTTTCTGATTTTTCCTCACATTCTCCATATTGTTCCTGAGGAGTTGATAATGCCTCATCCACAAGCACCTTGGAATCTTTATCACCAAAACGCTCCTGGGTCTTCCTGTTCTTCCTCCCACAGCGGCCCCTCCGAAGTGGCTGGCTGTTGGCAGGAAGACTGTCCCGGGGAAGGGCCTGTCTGCTCAACCGTGAAGAACTAGTCAGTTCCTTAACTTCTGGTTTCTTTTCACTTTCTATTAAAGAGGAAGAATCTTGATCTTTGTTCTCCCGAGACACAGACTTTCCCACCTAATTAAGGAAAACGAAACAAACAAAAACAATGCTGGTTAATTTTTCAGTCTGTTTGATTAAGATAAGAAAACAGAACTTAAAACAGCCTAGATGCCTCTCAACCAACAAAGACTGGATAAAGAAAATGTGGTACCTTTACACTGTGGAGTACTACTCAGCAGTAAAAAACAATGACAACTTGAAATTTGCATGCAAATGGATGGAACTAGGAAAAAACCCTACTGAGTGCGGTAACCAGACCCAAAAAGATGAGCACGGTATGTACTCACTCATAAGTGGATATTAGAAAAAAGCAAAGGATAACGAGCCTATAGTCCATGACCCCAGAGAAAGTACATGACCCCAGAGAAGCTAGGTAACAAGGAGAACCCTAAGAGAAACATACATAGATGCTCCTGGGAAAGAGAAATAGACTAAAGATCTCCTGAGAAAACTGGGAGCGTGGAGGTGGGGAAGAGAAGGGAGGGTGAGAGAGGAAGAGGAGAGAAGGGGAGGGGGAAGAGAGCTTGAGGGAATGAGATGGTCAAGATGAGGGAAAGACAGAGAGGGAGAGCAAAGAAAGATATTTTGATAGAGGGAGTCATTAGGGGGCTAGCAGGAAACCTGGCACTAGGGAAATTCCCAGGAATCCACACAAGGATGACCCCAGCTAAGACCCTAAGCAATTGTGGAGAGGGTATCTGAACTAGCCTTGCCCTGTAATCAGATTGATGACTATCTTAAATGCCACCACAGAACCTTCATTCAGCAACTGATGGAAGCAGGTAAAGAGATTTATAGCAGAACACTGGGTTGAGCTCCCAAAGTGCAGTCGAAGAGAGGGAGGAGCAAGAATATGAGCAAAGGGGTCAAGACCATAATGGGACACCCACAGAGACAGTTGACCTGAGCTAATGGGAGCCCACTGATGCTGGCCTAACAGCAGGGGAACCTGCATAGGACCAAACTAGGCCCTTTGAATGTGTGTGGCAGTTGCATGGCTGGGGCTGACTGTGGGGCCACTGGCAGTGAGACCAGGATTTATCCCTACTGCTTGTACTGGCTTTTGGAATCCATTCTCTTTAGAGAAATAACTTGCTCAGTCTAGATATAGTGGGGAGGGCACTGGTCCTGCCACAAAGCTATGTGCTAGACTTTGGTGACTTCCCATGGAAAGCCTTACCCTCTCTAAGGAGGAGGAAAGGTGGAGGGAGCAGGAGGAGGGGAGAGAGTGGGAACTGGGATTGGCATGTAAAATGAAAAAGATAGTTTAAAAAATTTAAAAGAAAACAGAACTTTAGAAAGAAAATTATTAATATTTAATAGCTCCCATGAATGTTTTCTCCTTGGTGGCACTTTTAGAAACGTATTTACATGTACTCCTCAGTTTAATTCTCACAATAACACAGTGAAGTATTATGATGCCCCTCTGTCTAACAGTGAGGTAACTTAACTGAGGAATAAATTCAAAGCAGCTGACTCCAGGTCTTGTACTCAAAACCACTATGAAATGTCACCTTTGATATCAAAGTCAGTGTCCGTTGTCTGGATAGAAGATGAGATTACATTTTCTCAAAATAAAAACTGACAAACAAGGAAGAACAGGCTAGATCACTGGTCCCCAATCTTCCTAATGTTGCAACCCTTTAATACAGTTCCTCAACCATAAAATTATTTTCATTGTTACTTCATAACTGTAATTTTGCTACTGTTATGAATTGTAATATGAGTATCTGTGTTTTCTGATGGTCTTAGGCGACCCCTGTGACAGGGTCTTTCAATATCCCGGGGGTCATGACCCAAAGGTTGAGAACCACTGGGCTATAAGAGCATGAGCAAGAGCAGACATCTGAGAAATATGGAATTTTGAAATTTCTTTTCTGGAATATTTAATTTAAATTAAAACATAATTCAATAGATGAGTTTTCTCTCTCTCACACTTACCAAAGGGAGACATAAAGGATGAAAGCACAAAAAAGAATGTTAAAGGAAAACCCAAACAACTTCTGTATCACCTGAAGAACACTGAAGACTGTAGAACACAGTACAGCCCACCACTAATGTTCTGAAGACATCTATGCATTCCGAAAGTTCTACCAAAAACATATGCATGCTTATAAATAATGTTCTATTATAATAATAGAATTATTATTTCTATAATATTTCTTAATGTTCTATTTTAAGGAAAATGTGTTTTACTTTCTTTTAGCAACTGTCATATTCAGGCTCAATCAGATTCCTCAGTTACTATATATATAGCTTAAAATGTAATTCTTACCAGCTTGCCACTAAAGATTGGTCATAACTAATACACTGGCAGAAACCTAATCGATTCCTAGTGGTCTAAGCCTTAAAAACAAAATAAAATAAAAATGTAAATAAAAGTAAATATTCCTGAAATTTCAACTATTAAAATAAAACACTAAAATGCTAGTATAAATATCTGTGTACATATTTGCATGTGTGTATGTATGGAGAAGTCTGACACTGTGATGTGCATATGGAGATGAGAGGACAACCTTGGCTATCTTCCCTAAGGAATGCCATTTTCTAATTTTTTTTAAAAGAATATTTATTTTTAAGTGTATGAGTGCATGCCTGTGCATGACATGCTTGCAGTATCTGAGGGGGCCAGAAGAGGGTGTTGGAGCCCCAACATTGAAATTACAGATGGCTGTGAGCTGCCATGCATATCATGAACCTGGGTCCTCTGCAAAAGCAGCAAGTGCTCTAAATCACGGAGCCATCCCTCCAGCTCCTCTACCTTATTTTATGAGACCTGAGACCCACCAAAGCTGGCCAGTTAGCTTGAGGGACTCCCATTCCCCACCTTCCCAGCACTGGAATTGAAAGTATGCACCACTGTGCCCAGCTTCTTAAAATGGGTTCCAGGCCCCTAATTTGACTATAATAACAAGTAAGCATCTATCTCCCTGGTCCTCTAGGAAGGACATTTCCGGAAAGACATCATAATATACTACAAATATTCATAAATGCTATAACAAACCAGATCATACCCTTATAGGGGTCTCTAATTCTCTTTCTTGGTCTTGGGACTCTTCTTTGTCTCCTTCATCAGCCTCCTCTTCTTCATCCTCTGAGACAACAGAGTTGGAGACTATGACCGGAGTCCAGCGTAAGCATTCTGGATCTACATCTACAGGTCGAAGATTCAACTGAAGCTTTGCCATGTGATCCTGGATAAGTTTTTCCCGGCGGATAATCACAAATCTACAACCAGAGAAAAGTTTATAGCAATCAACAATGTACTATGATAGATAATGAACAGTGAGGCACAACACACCAAAGACCCTAGAGATTATAGCTTCAAAAAGCGCTGTTAGAAAGATGAACCGTGTAACTATGTCAGCATGGAGTTAAGGAAGAGAGGCAAGTGAGGCACACCGCATACTGCAGGCTGAGTCACACTGGCTGACACACTAACTCAGACAACACACACTTTTCCCTGCTCACCTGACACCTTTTCCTAGTTTCCATTTGTTCAGCTCGAATGTTTTTTTTCCTTGTGATCTTTCCTGACCATTTTAAGCAAAAGTAAATTCTGTATTTCACTTAGTGACATTTACTTGGGCAGTTAGTGAAGTAAAATGAACATATTTTACTTAATGACATTATTTCACATTGGAAGAGAGTAAGCACCCAATACTAGAAGATAAACAATTGAGTGGCTTAAGTGCCAACTTTATACACTAAAAATGTTTGTGTGTGTTCATGAGACCCAAACAGCACAGAAAGTGGTGATTCAACAATACATATTCTATTTGAGTGAATTGCATCAGGCATCCGGCCACCTGATCCCAAACCTACATCATCACCTTTCCCCTTAACCAGTCAGATGCTCTGTCAGCCTAATCACATTCAAAGGTATATAAGGGGTGTGATACTCACTGGTCACTGCGGAAGTCCAGCATTCGCAGGTGGTGGAGTGTGGAAGTAATGTCTTGAGGACAGACTCCAGTCAACTTGCTTAGTTTCTTAATGCTGATTTGTTTATCGTTTTGGTGATAAAGGCACTCCAATATTACACTTTTCCAGTAAGCCATGTAGGAAAGACGACCTAGATCTGACAGTGGTTTCTCAGGGGACCCTGCTTGGCCTTCACGCTTTGATAACAAATAACCTGGAGAACCCAGAATTACAAACATGTCAGAGACCTTAGAAATGACAATGTCCCTTTATATGACCAACCCAAATACCAACCCATCAATGTTAATTTCAAAGGCAAATTCCTTCCAAAAATAGAGAATAAATGTGTAAAGCTACTTTAAAACAATTTGCAGAGATGGTTATATTGAACATTAGATAATATTGTTTATGGTCAATATGTCACCTTGTTAAAATATTAAAACTGCTAAAAACAAAATAAAGCTTTCTATCACAAGCTGCATTAGTAAGATTAAAGCAACAATGCTTTGTAATTTCCAAGTATAACTAGGGGAGACAGGAAAAAAAAACCCAAACTTTGCTTTATTTTCACCACTAGAGGGCGACTACCATCTGTGACCTGAGAAGGACACAAAGGTTTGTGAAATTAAGATTGTGGCTCCTTCAGTGAAGGTACTATTGGTCATTTATCACTTCCCCTCACCTTGGGAAGCATGAGTGTGCCACTGGGAGCATGCTATGGTATTACTCTTTCCTCTAGTTTAGTGCGTAACTTTCAAGAACTGGAATAAAGAGAAGGGGCAAAGTTTTCAGAGAAAAATCATTGTAAACAGAAATAGTAGAAAAGAAGTAGCTTTTGTCATTATGGAATATTTAAAACCAGTCTAAGAATGGTAATCTAGAAAAATATATTATACTAGAAAAGGTTAAAATACACTGTAATCATACTCATTTACATGCCTCAAAGTATTAGCTAATATATTTCCCTAACCTTATTTATTTATTTTGAGATAAGGTCTTTCTTGTGCAGCCAGGTGTGATTACATGTATGTATGCAACGCCCATGCCTACTCCACACACACACAAATTAGTCAGTATGGTCAAAAGACAAGTAAATGGTTCAGATAAGAGTTAGTTTCTCAGGACCAGAATCAAAACCGTAAGTCTGGCCAGGCATGGTAGTACATGTCTTTAATTCTAGTATTCGGGAGCCAGAGGCAGGTAGGTCTTTGTATGTTCCATGCCAGTCAGGGACTCAAAGTAGGACCCTGACTCAAAAAACAAACTAAACAAAATATCTTTAGTCTGATTCATTATATCTACATAGGCTCTTTTTAATATTTTCTAAAAATTATCATTGAAAAAGAATGTACATTTCACCATCACCTCTTTAGGACTGTTAGCTTTTACTTTTGAACTCAGATTAAATTATTTCCCGTAATGTTCATTTTTTTTAGGGCATTTAAAGCTGTGCTATGTACTTTTTAAACATTAGGTAGAACCATAACTAAACACACAGAGAGACATAGATTTACTCAGATATTGGGATAATGACACTAGGCAGTGCTGTATTTCCTTATTAAGATTTGTTTTAGTAGTTATGCAACATTCCAACACTGCTGTGAATTAGTGTTACTGCATATAACTAAGTTCCACCAGAAATCAACAGCTGCACATTATAGACATTTACTGATCTCATAAAAACTGCATCAAACAAATCTTCTTACATTTCTATATGTACGTGTCTGTGTGTGTAGTCAGTGCATGTGCCATAACATGCATGTGGAGGTCAGAGGGCAACTCACAGAGGGTGGCTCTCTTCTTCCAGCATGTGAGTTACAGGGATCAAGCTCAAGTCATTTGGTTTGGCGGCAGCATGTGCCTTTACTCACTAAGCCATTTCACTGGCCCCCACAAAACTGTATCTGACATTAGTCATTAAAAATTATTTTATACTAAGTCAAAATAAAAAGGACTGTGGCTTTTTAAGAAGCCCACACACAATATGACGATAACTGGCGAGATGGCTCAGCAGGTAAAGGTGTTGCTGCCCAAGTTCAGTCTCCAGGACACACAAGTGGAAGGGAAAACCCAACTCCTGCAAGCTGTTCTCTGAGTTCCACGTGCATATTGTGGGACATAATAAATAGTTAAGAAAGAGAGAAGGAAACAAAGAAACACAAGAAACCTACAAATTTTTAAATATATACATCTAAAATCTCCACCAGAAGAAATGAGAAAATATGTTAATATAATCCTTACTGAAATCGATGAGAAACCTGCCGTAGCCCTTACGTTGGTATTGGGGAAGAATCATTATACAAGAGACATTGTATTTCTGTTGGCAGTGCTTTTCCTGGTGGATAAAACAGAAGCCAAGTTTTAGAACAATAGAAAGGTAAAGCTGAATAGTAGTGCTTAATCATTAATAAACAAACACTACCAGTCAAAACCAGTCACATTCCTTTGGGAATAGCAATGTACATGAACAAAATGCCACTGGGAGAAGGGAAGGCAATGTTCATCACTATCACAGATGCAAAGCAACCATCCCAGAAAGGTAGTAACATAAAACACAATGATGCCACCCAATACTAACAGCCACTAAAAACCAAAGAGTGTTGATACCCAAGGTCAGGAAAGGAATCTGAGTGCCCAGTAATTGGGAGCACGATGTTGACAGCACCAGGTCAGCTGCTCCATACTAGTATAACATTCCAGGTAATCCCTGTACTGCTACAAGGAGCAGGATACCATAGACTGTATTACTTAACTGTACATAAAATATTCCTAAATGTGGGGCACAAATACACTTTCACAAAATAGCTGATGTATTTCCAATATTATTTAAGTAAGAAGGTAGCTCCAAAGAACTCTTACAAACTAGGACATCCCGGCAATCTGTTTAGTACACTTAAAACAGGGACTAGCTTCTGAATGTATCTGTCATACAGTGCCTAAAAATCCAGTTAGAGTATTTCTGTTGCTAACGAACTCTGAGAGGTAATGAGGGTGTTTACTTCACAAGTTCTGTCTCTCAGCACCATGGGACTAGAGGTCATGCTAATAAAGCTCTTCCTCTTGAGTATACCAGCAGTTCTTTTTCCTAGGAGAATAGTCTGCTGAACGGTACTAGGCATCTTCTAGCAGTTAGTAAGTTTCCAAATGTTCCTTCTATTTCCTTTCTGAAAAAGCTAAAAGGTACCCCCCCCCCAAGGTTTTACATTCTGTTGCTCCTTCCTGAGAAGCAGTAAAGACTGTCCCAGATTTTTTCACGAATCCAAACATTTTAAAATCGCATACTTACTTTAGAAAAGTAGCCAACAAGGTGGCAGCCCTTGACATCATTTTGTGTCAGAACATAGAAAAGAAATGGCTCCACGTCATAATACAGAGTTTTGTGGTCAAGAAACAACTTTGCCAAGAGACACAGATTTTGACAATAAATGGTACTCACATTCCCATCAACCTAAAGGCAAAAAAAAAAAAAAAAAACAAACAAAATAAGAAGGTGGTCAGTAAAATGTTCTTTGGTTTTGGAGTTACACATATCAGCAACAAGCATCACTCGGTACCCTTAGTCTAGCCTGACTGATCAGAACACACAGTCTAAAGTATCAGAAATGACAGTATGATAATACCTGCTGTTCAAAGAAGAACGAACACTTAAGATCCTAAACCTCAACAAAACATGAATAGATAAAGAGGGAGGTAAGAACCTCAATTTGAAATGGCATTTTTGCTTTTCTAAAACAAAAAAAAAAATTAACTTCAGGGATACTTCAGACAACAAGTTTCATTTTCAAGAGTATTTAGTTTAACTAACAATCTAAATGTAATCTCCTCTAAAATTTACTTATTAGGTAAAATATGAGACTGACAACCTGGCAGCAGCCTGATACAGTACTGTCTGACTACCACGATCTGGCACAGCCCCAGACAGAACTACAAGGGGAGTGCTAATTACTGCCACTCAGAAGTGCCAGGCAGGGTCTTAGGTGAGCACCTGGTAAAGGAGACTCAAGGTGGCCGAGATCAGGAGCACACACTCTGTCCATCCCAATATCCCTGTACTCTTGAGCTGAAGCTTGCTCTTGTATGAAAATGCTGATGGGGGCCGGAGAGATGGCCCAGAGGTTAAGAGCATTGCCTGCTCTTCCAAAGGTCCTGAGTTCAATTCCCAGCAACCACATGGTGGCTCACAACCATCTAAAATGAGATCTGGTGCCCTCTTCTGGCATGCAGGCAGGCATGGAAGGAATGTTGTATACATAATAAATAAATATTTAAAAAAAAAAAAAGAAAATGCTGATGGAGCCCATACTACCTATCTTAAGATCCCGCCACACTAACTGCACTCTAGATGTCACATTGATGTGGCTTCTTATAGATCACATACCTGGTATATGGAAAGGTCAAGAAGCAGTTTGCTGCTGAGTACTCTCAAACAATACTGTATAATACACTTCTGAAACCCAGGTGACGTGTTCCCCTCTACTGACGAACTAAATCGTTCATCAAGTGAGGGAGATGGAGGAGATCCAGATTATCTGAAAATCTATCACTACATTAATTAACAGGACCCAACATACAAGTACTCAGTACTTGGCTCTCGAAGCAAACAACTGTGGACCAAGGAGTTAACGACCACTATTAATGCTAACACAGAATCACAGATAAGAGTATAACTCATGCCATCATCATATCCTCCTATTACAATTTACTAAAGCTACTAAACACTCTTCCAGAAGACAGTCTTTTTGAATAACAGAAACACTTTTATTAACTGTTGTTTTCGTTTTGCTTTTGGCCCTGAGACTGTAGCTCAGACTGTCCTGGAACTCACTGTGTAGCCCAGACTGGCCTCAAATTCATGGCAATCCTCCTACCTCAGCCTTCTGAGATTATAAGCGTAAGCCAATATCCCTGGTTTACAAATCCTTTCTCAATGCCCTATTTTACGGATTCTAAGATCTATTTTAATCACATCCTAGCATAATGTTAAAATCGGCTGGCATTTTGTCAAATGGAATAGTAGAAATTTTAATTAGCAGTATTTCTCCCTTTTAGTGATATATAATATAGTAAGGTATACTATGACTGACATTTTGAGTCAATGAAATAAGAGTGATTTATTTTAAGGTCAAGCTTGTGGACTTGGTGCCATCTGGACTGGTCTGGTTCTGCTCCTCACATCCATGAATTACTGAAACAGTAGTGAATGAACAACAGGTGTAGCATAGAGAGGACTGGTTTTGAAATGGTCAGGAAGACAGGTACTAGACAGCTACCTTACCTCAAAGACAGAAATATTATTCTTTCGGTAAATCTCATTGGCAGGAGGATGGAACCAACCACATTTCTTCATGTGCTGCTGTAGAATAGTTCTACTTTTCATATATTTTAGACAGAACTCACAAAGATACAATTTAGGCAGCCTGCAAATGATAATTAAAATAGGGCTTTATATTTTATAGATCTTCAAATTTCCATGACTCTTAACTTCTTTTGTCTCATTACCACCCATGTTAAAGAGTGGAAAGAACAGGGGCTGGTGAGATAGTTCAGTGGTTAAAGGCACCTGCTGCTAAGCCTGGCAATCTGAGTTTCATTCCCCAGACAAACATGGCAGAAGGAAAGAAACGACTTCCAAAAGTTGTCCTCTGATGTCTGTGTGCCACCCCCAAAATAAAAAGAATTAACTTAAAAAAAAAGTGGTAAGAATAAAATACTATTTCTATAGGAGAAAGGGGCCCCAAACTTTAGATAGAGCCACCAACTAAATAGCAGCAGAAGGGCAAAAGTGAGAAATCAAGATACCTAGCTCAGTAATTCTCCTATTAGACTAAAAATTCTCTATCTCTGAAGTCAATCAACAGACTTGAAAAATCTCACATTGCTACTCCCTGGAGAATCTTTAATAAGCAGAATAAATACATAGATTCATAATTCCTTCCTTATTTATTTCTTTATGTTTAGATTTCAGGAAATAAGCTCTTGAATACTTACCAAGTATCAGATCCTGTGCAAGAAACATGTAAGTGTATATGTAGTGCTAGGCAAATGGACATGAAGTGTATACTGTAAAAACATACTTTATAAATGCTTTTAAGTATGAAACTATAACACTGAATATGTTTAGGGACATATTATACATCATGTCCTTTCTGCCTCTAAAGCTGTTTCTTGCCTTACGTAGTTTAAACAACAACAAAAACAATAGTGTAAGAAACCTTATTAGACAAAAGCATATTATTATTCTGGACAGGGCATGGTGGCATATGTATTTAATCCAAGTATTCCAGAGGCAGAGGTAGGCAGATCTCTGTGAGTTCAAGGCCAGCAAGGGCTATATAGTGAAACCCTGTCTATTTAAGAAGATGGAAGGAAGAAAAGGAAGGAAGGAAGGGAGGGGAGGGGAAAGAGGGGGAGGGGAGAGGAGAGGGAGGGGAGAGGGGAGGGAGAGAGGGAGGGAGGGAGGGAAGGAGGGAGGGAGTGAGGGAGGGAGGGAGAGAGGGAGAGAAAATAAAAAAAATCACCCTGGGGATGTTGCTGGAGGGCCACTGGATATTTAGCAGCTCTGGGTTATGTTCCTAGCTTTAGAAATAAAAACAAAAGGACAAAAGGTGGCACACCTTTAATCCCAGCACTTGGAAGGCAGAGGCAGACTAATCTCTCTGCCTCAGAGTTCTAGACCAGACAAGGCTACACAGTGAGAACCTGTCTCAAACGAAACAAAGCAAACAAAAAACAAAGACAAAAAAAAAAAATCACAAAATCAGGATGTGGTAGCATTGGTAATCCCAGCATTCCTATGGCAAGACGGGAGAATTGCCCAGGAACTTTTGGGTTGGCTAGCCTGAAGTACAGAGCCAGTAGCAGAAACAAGACCCTAACTCAACAAAGTGGAATCAGAGACCAAAAGAGTCATCTCCAGTGCCATGGCCCACATATGTACAAAGGTACATACATACGTACGTATATACGTGTACACACACACTCCTAAATTTTAAAAAAGGCTGTAAAAGTTTTTTGTTTTGTTTTGTTTTGTTTTGAGACAGGGTATCTCTGTAGCTTTGGTGCCTATCCTGGAACTAGCTCTTGTAGACCAGGCTGGCCTCAAACTCATAGAGATCCACCTGCCTCTGCCTCCCGAGTGCTGGGATTAAAGGTGTGCACCACCACTGCCTGGTGGTTGTAAAAGTATTACTACTCAGCAAGAAAAATTAAGGCTCAAAATTATTCTTTCAGGTATTTTCATCTCAGTTGTTAATTTATATTCACTGACTAGCCTTGCAACTATAGTAGTAATTTGTGTTTTAAAAGAAGTCTCGTACTAGTTAAACACTTTGGCCCATTCATAAAGTATACAAGGGCCGAGCAGAAGTATCATAAATTAGCAAGATGTAAAAAAATAGCCAGAGATACAATATCAAGTATTTTTAAAATTAAAGATAAAGGTATAAACCAAGTCACACATGCCATATGGAGTATGGCTTGGTAGTCAGTTTATGGCTATGTGATTCAGAGTGGGCTCACATTTAATCTCAGCCACCTACAAACTATATTGCCCGAATATGCTTGCTGGACAACATCTGCAAAGGATAGAAATCTTCAACCCCCAGAGTCAGACCAAAGATGCTTAGTTGGTTACCAAGCTCAATAGATGACAGTTATCCGTGCTATAATTTATAGCAGTAATTTTTACTTTCTTTTCTCCCATTTTACTTCATCATTTAATAGCCAAGGCACTAAACTGTGTTTGGTTTCTTCTTCAATAACTGAGATTATGCAAATCTGGTTCAAGCAGTAATCTCAAAGTCTATGCCTCAAATCAAGACAGGAAGAGAATTTCCTTCCTTGCAAGACAGGCAAACGGAATTTCTTACACTATTTTCTTACGTGGGAATCAGCTCATTAAGACTTCAAGATGACCTCACAGCAAAGAGTACCATGAAGTACTAATCTCTGAGTAGCTCAAGTGGAGGCTGCCCAGGTGTCAGGTTCTTCCCTGGGCCCCATCCCTATTATATAGTATTGCTTCACTGATGTTCTTTTACTTTGGTTTACCTGTTTGTGTGAACCAGGGAAAGATCAAGTAATTCACAGGAATATATAAATACTTGGATCTTTTGCAGCACATCCTAAAGCACAATCCTATCCCCTCTAAGATTTTTCTTCCAGAATCCTTTCTTTCTTGTTTGCTGCAAAATTTCTGCATACTATGGGACTATGTTTTAAAGGTATTTATTAAGAAATTAATCTAGAAGTGTCAGTATAAAACAGTAAGTAGAGACCACCAAAACTCAGGATAGAGGCTTATCATTTGAAAAAGATATGATCTCTGGGCTGTGGAGAGGGCCCAAAAATGAAAGTGCTTTCTGCAGATCTGCAAATCCAGAACCCAAAGGGACACCTGCTGGGGCTGGCTGCCCATCTGCTACTTCAGCCAGAGACAGAAGATTTCTGAGCAAGATAGCTAGTGAAACTAACTGTATAAGTGAACTGGGTTCTTTTGAGAAGTCCTGCCTCAAAAGAGTAAGTAAGGAGAAGAATCATACTTCAGGAAGATTTCCTGTATCAACCTTGACCCTCGCGCCATGCTTGCACACACAGAAACATGTGCGCCCACCCACACGTGATCATGCATATACCAAAGCACATATACCACAAACCCAGTAAAAAGAAAAAAGATCTCTAAGCATTTTACTTAACTCAATTAAAAAGAACTTACAAGTAAACCCATTGAATTCAATTGAGTAGAAAAATTTAGCTTTTAAATATGTATCTGTAAGAATTAAAACAAGGACAGAAAAAATCTGCAGTTACTAAAGACACTATTACACTGCTGGATAACTCTCATGGAGAACTAAAGGAATTACAATGAATAAGGAAATATATAGAAATGTCTAAAATTTTGCTCAAAGAAGCTGACTACATAGTTCCTATCTTGTTTCTTTCTGTCTGTTATTATGATTCTCTTTACACTTTTTGGTTATTTTCTGCTGACAATATTTACTCCTTCACTGAACCAGGCCCCTCACGAATGGTTCTAATAACAATTCTATCAGAATACACAACATTAATTTCATGAATCCTTCTGCCTTACAAGACAAAAATCCATAGTTGTAGTCTCATCATCTTCTCCAAGTACAAAAGCTGGCTCTACACCAACTCCTCCCTTGAGCAGAAGAGTCATGGTGCATGTGGTTTCAACTTAACTGCACTGCAAAATCTGGACAGCTGACATATTAATACTTGTGATACAGAAAGCTTGTAAAGAACTTGCTCTAAAATGATGGTAATAGGGACCAATGAGATGGCTCAGCAGGTAAAATAATCTTGAGTTTAATCCCTAGGACTCCCATGGTGGAAGGAGAGAACTGGCTCCCATGGTTTGTTCACTGATTACTACATTTATGCTAGGGCACACATACAAATGTAATGTAAATTACTTTTTAAAATGACATTATTTAAAACATCATGAAGAAAATAAATGTTTAGCGTATTTCTTTTTGATCATACATGATTATAACTATTCAAAACTCCAAAGGAATAAATGACTGAGTAGCAGGGTACTATAGGAGTTGATGAATTTCTTGCCTTCCTTTTAAATGTATAGCCCCCCCCCCACACACATACACAGATCATATAATTTAATCTTTTCTTAATAAATTCACCTTAACTATTGCTATTCATGATACTACTTGAAAGATAATATCACAGTATATTAGTCAGTCAATTTAGTATGGTTACAGTTTTAAACAATAACTTTGGACAGGTATCAGTCAGGGACATCTAAAGTTAGCTAGAAAGAAGCAGCTGTTAAAGCACTGCTATTACAGACATTTGAAAGCCTTTCAAATGTAAAATAATGAACTGTATGAACCACCACTGGATATTTTCTTAAGGGATTTAAAAAAAAAAAAACAGCAAAGGGCTCTCACAACATACCTTGAATATTCTTGAGGATATGGAGAGGAATACCAGGTGTGAATTTCATACTTCCCAAACTCAATGACAGAGGGACAGCGGACTTGTGGGTCAGGGGGCCCAGTTACTCCGACTTTCTGTACAATCAAGAAAAATACTGTACAAGTTAACTAAATTAAATACATCGACTTAATAACAACAAAATAATAATAATATTAATGCCTGATCTACACGCTGTCTTTTCAGGACCCACAGAGATCAATAAGTCAAGAGCAAGCTAACAAGTCTTGAAGTAAGCTATATCTTTAAATAGCAGGCTCGAATGAATGCAATGTTAGCAAATCTCCTGAAACCATGCACTGTGTCACTGACTTCTCTGTCTAGTGACACTGGACACTTATTTTCTCAAATAAGCCTACTCCATTAATGACTTAATTATTAAATGAAACTGCTGGGCAAGATATTGACTACTCCCCAAGCAAGCAACAAAACAAATGACCTACACTGATCATATAAGCACACACGGAAAAGAAGGAATTTTTAACTTGGGAAAGTAAATAGTTAAGAACAGTATGAAAGGAATATGACAAAGCAAGTACCAAAAAGGTCTTCAATTGTACCACATGTGAGAGTGTCTTCACTAGCAGCTGTACACAGTTAGAATAAACAACATCACACATGTTTTACACAGGCCAATCTTGTCCTCCTGTCTACAAATGCAGTCTCGAAGCTCCCCTCACTCCTGTAATAACCTAAAGTGCTTTGTCGAGAAAGGAGTGGTGTTTGTAGCCTCAATGACTTGGTCTTCTACACCAGAGGTTCAGATACAAGCTGTAGGTTAAAACTTAACCTACAAGGTCAGATTTAAAACATTAAATTCAAAGGCAATCTGATTAACTCTGCATACAATCTAACAACAAATTCATATATATATATGTATGTATGTATGTATGAGTTCATCATGAACATTTTACAAACATCAACTCAGGTGAAAATGAGGGAACTACAATTCAGGGTGACCAGATATAAGTATTAATACCTCTTCATCAAAAAAAAAATAATCAAAATTATCCTTCAACATTGAGATTAAAAGTCCCTTTTTGGAGCCCAGAGATCATATATAACAAAACTACAAAAGTGAAGACTTCTTTTCTCTGGTTTGATTGAAATTCATTAGTAAGAAAGTGCTTCAGCACATCTGATTTGACAATTCCCTCCTTCCTCTTTCCTAATCATTCCCTTTCCTCAGAGGGCAAGGCACTTAGCTCAGGTTTCACGCTGGAATACAGCCAAGTGAGACCAAGCTCTTCCTGAGACACATTCAAACAAAGATGATTATCTTCAACTAGCTGGATAAAATGCACTGTATCACCAGTGAGTACCAGGGTTCCTCCAACCGTACAACAATACAGAAACAAACCAAAAAGATTAAAACACAATTTAATAAATGGATTTTAAAAGGCTGTTCTTTAAACTGCATTCTAGTTCTAAGTACTCTAATTTCTAAAGTAGGATCTTTTCATCTACCTTTGCAGTTCACAACAACAGAAGTAGTACAGGAAAACAGAATAACCAAAACCCAAATCTACCTTACTGAGGTCTGAATTAAACAGGAAGTATAAAGGCTAACCCATGCACCTGCTGTGATGCAGCCTGCCATGGGAGACTCCTCCCGTCTGTCGCCCGGTGCTCCTCTAGTCGGATACCCGATGAAAATGTGGAGATCCAGTTCCAGTATAACTGTTTACACATTACCACAGCTAAGAGCCACAATCCCTCTGCCTACAAACACCTTCACCTCTGCGCTGTGCAACGCTCTGGCACATGCGCTCATGCACTTGTACTCCACCACCCTCAATTCCCCTGTGTAGCCTGCAGAGGAAGGATTTTCCACTCACTCAGGTTTAAAGTCAACAAGGCTCTTCATGAAGAGGAAGCATCTATACATGTATTCATTCATTCACTTGCACTGTTCCTGATCAATTACTGAATTACTACAAGATCATAAAAATTTCTGATCCTTCTGCTTTCACCTCCTAAGTTCTGGGATCATAGGTATGTAGCATTTTATGTGATGCAAGGGACCAAACCCTGGGACTTTGTGCATTCTAGGCAAGCACTCTTAACCACTTTAGATCACTACTTTCAAAACATCTTCCTTTTCTACATATCTTCTGAACACAGCCACCAGCACTCTAGATCAGGAAGCGCCCTATTAAAATAAAATCTCTCATAGCATTCTTCCTTTCTTCCTACTATCACTTCGTATTTTTATTTTGTGTTTATGATTATTTGCCATTTGTGTCACAAATGAAAGTTCACAATACAAACCGAAAGTTCCTGAATCTGTTATATACCTGTTTAGTACAAAGCCAGACACATATTCTAAATGAATCAATCTCATGGAAAAAGATCATTACATCAGAATTTCTATACATTCCTACCTCAGGAAAAGCACACACACTACGTGCCATATCACTACGGTAGTAATGTCCTGGGAGGCTCAGCAGCCCCTTTGGACTCTCTCTGATCATTTTTCCCTCATATACCCATTACTCCTATTCTCATCCCCACATCTCTCCCCACAGAAACTTACATACAAATCTTCATCCGTTAAACAAAGCCTTGACTTCAGTCTAATCAATCAGTTTACAGTAGTAAAAAAAGACAATGTGTCTGCTCTCAAGGCACTTAAATCCTAGAAATAAATTCAAGCTGGGTGTGGCAGCACAAGTCTTTTTTATCCCAGCACTTAGAAGGCTGAGACAGGCTTTGAACTCAAGACCAGCCTGGTCTACACAGTAAGCTCTGGGACAGCCAGGGCTACATTGTATCAAATGAAATCAATTCAAGAGGTGATAAGAAAATAGGAAAAACAAGCAGAAAATGGGGAGTCCGTAACACAAGTGGTGTGCTCACAGTGCTACCCTTAGTTTCAGCTGGAAATGGCCTCTCTGGTAACATGTGGATATCAGAAAGAGCAATCCGGACAAGGAATATCAAGTACTATGGGAAGACCATAAGACCATATTTGATGTCATCTGAGGGAAAGACAGTGTCTGGGATTGGGTAAAACAAGAAAGCGTGGAGAGCAGGCAGTCAGAAGCAAGCAGGCACAAGACCACCTAAACATATAAGGATACAGGTTGGGTTTTTTTAAGTTCTAAGTAGGGTTAAAAGGCACTGGAGGTTGTCTGAGCAGAGAAGTGGCACAATCCAACTTAAGTCACAAACTAATTACCCTACGTAAAGAGCAGACCAGAGACTGAAGCCAGGAGACAAAGGAAAAGTGGAGGCCAGAGGGTCAGTCTGGGGGCTATGGTAATACCCAAGCCAAATCTGGTGGTTGTGAAGCAATCAGCAGCAGTCATATCCTGGACACAATTCTGACTCTACTAATGGATCTAATGTGGAGCACAGGCAAGAATGCTTGCTACCTGTTTGTCTAAGCAAATGTGCACACAGTATGACTGCTATGGTTTAGATCTCAAATGTCTCCCCAAAGTCACAGTTAAAAGACATGGCTGCCAATTTAAACACTACTGGAAGATCAAAGAATCCTCGGTATATGAGGCTTAACAGAAGGAAATTGAGTCACTGGACAAATCTTTACAGGGTTACTAGGACCCTGTTTCTGCCATTCTTTCTCTCTTCTTGACCTACATGACACCTGCTTTTACCATGATGCACTACTATCTCTTAACCTCAAGAGTTTTACTCACATAGCTACCAGTACAAACCAAAAGACCATGAATTAAAATCTCTGAAGTGAGTCCAAATAAACCTTTCCTCCAAGGCCTAGAGAGTTAGCTCAGCAGCTAAGAGCAATGGCTTTTGCAGGGGAGTTGGATTTGATTCCCAGAACAAGGGGCTCACTTGGAGTCTGTAACTCCAGTTTCAGGGAACATGAATTTGAGACACAGACTTACATGTAGGAAAAATAGTAAAATAACCAATTTTAGTATAATAAATACTATACTAAATAATATTTACTATAGTAAAATAACCAATTCTACTTAAGAAAATATACATAATATGCTCCCTTAATATTGGTAATCAAAGCAAGGTAAGTTTTGGTAAAATATAAGTAGTTGCAGTTTGAAAGGAATTCTGTAATAAAGAAGGCTACACACCTGCATAAATAACCACATCCTGTCTCAGTAAGCTGCTCCTTTAGTTTTCCCCACCATACCATCAGTCCTGCTTCCTTGCTCTGCAGGTCCCTGACTGCTCAGCCTCAATGTACAACTTTACCTGCAGCGCTTGTTCCTGGATGTCACGAAATAATTCCATATCTCTCTCCGTCATGATTTCCTGGCTCCCAAAAAGCCGCTCCTCATTTTCTTGTTTGCTATCCCAGCCATCCTGATTGTCTACACAGAAAGAAAGGACTCACATGTTATTTGCACTGTCTTCAGTACAGCATGAGCTGTCAATCTGAAGAACTTAATATTACTTATGTACTACCCAAGAAAAGGACAGCATTAAACTAACTCACAGAAACATTACTCAAGTATTAATAATCTGTCCTTCTGATGAAAATCCCAAATTGCCTTAAATTTTCCAAAAGATATGACATAACCAAATTTAAATTCATTAAAAGATTAATTTCAATAGACAGAACAAGAAAAGGGTATAAGAATAGAAATTTCATTTCGAAACAGGGTAACTATTGGCACGTTTAGCAGGAATTTAATGTGTCAATAATCACCAGTCTTAAAAGAGCTACCTTGACTGATACCAGGAAACACTAACTCCCTTCACATTCTGGGTGCCCTGTTAAAGCACAAACTCCACAAACCTGAGGACCACAGATGATAATCCTCTGGGTAAGTATGAAAAATTATGATAATCATCCACTAAATGATGGCTCTTCCTCAACTGGGCAAAATAATTAGTGAAGGGAGTATGGGGATTATGCAGATCATTATCCTTTGCATTTGAAGATGACACTGCTGGTGACCTCCTCTGTGAGTATGGCTGAAAAGACCAATCAGTGACAGTTCTTTTCAAATTGACTGTATATACTGGCTCTGTTATTCATTTAGTACAAGAAGAAAAAAGACAAAAACTCAAGGATGAAAACATTCTCAAACTGAAAAGACAGTACAATCTAATGTAATCATGTAGTTTTAATGCCCCCTAGTGCACAAAACGGATGGATGCAGGCATAGACCTAGTATTACATTCTGTGACACTGTATAAAATGATGCACAAATTGTTCCTTAATATTTACAATGCATAAATAAAATCAGAGTCCATTAAAGCAAATGCAGAAAAAATTAAAGCTTATTGTTTCTCTATATATTTTTATACACTTCCTAGAACAGCTTCAATTTCTAAGTTTCCAGGAGGTTCTTCTAAAAATCCATTTCCAGCACAAATTTTAGGAGTCTTTTTGTTGTTGTTGTTTTGTTTTTAAATATAACCTAAACGGGCTATGCATCTCGGACAAACATGCTCAAACTAAATATCATCTAAAACTAACATGGTGCATCCTGAATGTAAACAGTAACTTATGTCACTCTGATGAAAAGTCACTAAGCCAGAAAAGGAAGGACCAGAGACGGATGAGGGCCTTCTCTCCTGGACCTTTTCTCTTCACATACGCAGGAAAGAAGAAGCAGAAATACAACTATTTGTTCATGGAACATTTGAGAAAACAAAAATTAAGAAATTCTCCTAGAGTAGGTGAGCCCTTAAAACTTAAAAATAAATAAACAAACAAAACAATAACAAACAAAAAGCATCCTCTTCTGCAATAAGACCCTAGGACTTTGATCCTCATGATCCAGCTGATTTTTATTTTTCAGATTTTCTCAAAGCCCTTTCAACTCTTTGAAAGGAGATGGCATGGCTACTTTCTCTAAACTCAAGTCTCACTACAGAGGGTATTTACTTACAGCTTTCAGAATCAGGAGAGCTAATCACATTCCTCTGACTTGAAGCTGGAAGTCAGGCTGGAGCTACACAGGAACCTCCTTCCCTTCCCGCTTAACACATGAAAACTTACCCATGTATTTCCCCCAAGATTTAAAGTAGAAAATCATATATATCATCCTGCATATATTTTGGTCTTTCCTCTATAGTTAAACAAGCAGCAGTTTAACTACAAATGTCTTTTCTAATTTCCTCCCAGGAACAAATCAAAAGCCATGGTGCTTCAAGTGTTACACTATGAACTTCACCCCTGGCTCTAATTCCTGCTACAGCATTATGTAAGTATGTACCTTTAATACATTCATATATACCCGATTTTTGTGTTGACACAGAGTCTCACTATGTATCCCAGGCTGGTCTTGAGTATGTGGTCCTCTTGCCTCAGACTCTCCAGTGCTACGATTACAGATCCAGGCAACCGGGCTTGTCCATAAGTTTTACAACGAAATGTAAACTATTCTATATGACTAGCGTTAACGCAAATAATACATTTTCAGAATATTTTTGTTTCTAAGCTTGGTTCAAACTTTTACCTGTGGGCCAATCTGAAGTGCTTGATTTTCTGTTGCCCTTTTTCCTGATTCTGTACTGCTCAGAGTAGTCTACCACCTCCCCACGGGCTTTCCGCCCATCAGGAGAAGGGGTGAAGAATTTGGTAAGGCCATCAATGAGCCCTTTGGTTTTCTTGTTGAACTTCAAGGGGACATTGCTATCTCTGCAGAAGTCCAAGCCATCTATTCGCTCTAAATATCCTTCTTCTGATGACGACGCTGATTGACTGGAGAGAGGGATTTTACGTTTCCGACCCCTTCCAGGACCAGTTCGCACTTTGCTAAAGGGACCTTTTGATCTAAAGAATCAAACAGGGAAAAAAAATGTAACTATTAAAAAGAAATTATTATAAGCTTTATATCTAATATAAAATATAAACTATAACGTATAGATTTATTTTTAAGTATATATTTATATTAAACTAGCACTAAGGAGGCAGAGGCACATAGATCTCTGTAGTGACTTTAGGCAAGCCTGATCTATATAGCAGACTCCAGGACAGCTGGAACTGTGCACTGAGAACCTGTCAAAAAGAAAGGAATGAAAGGGGAGGGAGGAAGAGAGAGGGGAGGAAGGGAGGGTAGGAGGGAAGGAGGAAGAAGAGAATAAGAAAATTTATAAACTATAATCAGTAATATTGTCTTAGAACCATCCATTTCCAGGAAGCCTAGCTATAGTGGGAAGAACCCTAGAGTAGGAGTTAGAATACATGTCTGTCCAATTTTGTTACTGTCATATATCTAGGACAAACCACATCTCTAACCTCACTGTCTTCCTCTGGCAAATGAATTACATCAGTGACCAACTACCTTTCTAGGTTATAACATCCTCTAACACGGTGATCACTGTGCCAAAGAGTTATAATTTCACCTCTAAAAACAAAGACATGCTTACTCTCTAGAGATCAGAAATCAAAATACCATGTTTAAAGGCAAATTAGAGCCTGATTTAAGATGAAAACCATCGACTAGAATACTGATTCTATAATATGTCAGGCTGCTAATGCTCATTCATTTCTGTTATATCACCTTCAAGATAGTACTAAGTGTAGAAAAGGTACATAAATTTGAGACTAAAAAGGTTTACAGATTTGAAAACATTTTTTATATGACCAAAGGTGAATTACTATAAAGGTTTTTTCTAAAACAGAGAAAGCTACTGAAACTTGTCTCAACACTTCCAGAAATACCCTTGTTTCCCAAGCTACAATTTTTGATTTTTTGATAACAGATGAAAACATATTCCTTTATCTCAGGAGAACACAAATGGGACTTGGTTGTCATCTCAGTAAGATCTGACCCAGTGACCTGCTGGTGTCTACAGATAAACAACTGAGGCTGCATCAGTAAGAGTCACATGACTGCAGGCTTTTCTCTGCTGCTTTTACACAAGGAGCAGCATAGGGAAAGTTAAGCATCAGTCTGGTGCCAGACTTAGGCTTTAACCCCAGTTCAACACTTAATGTGTAACTTTATGTAAATTAATATCTATATGCCTTAGCTTCCACTTCTGAAAAATAAAGTTAACGATGGCACCTACATTTCACTAGGTCACTGGAAGAACTCAATGACTGAAAAAAAGGCACTTAGGTAGTCCTGCCTGGCACTTTATTAAGAGCCAGTAAAAGTGAGCATGTATATAAAAGTACCAGTTATAACAACAGGACTCTTTTTCACAGAGAAAGCAAGTGACTCCTATACTATGGAGAAGGCCCTATCCTTTTCTCCCCTCACCTTGCCATAAGAGTACAACTTACACCGTGTTTTGTTTCTTTAACCTGTTTTTTGGACGTCCTATTGGATTAGCATAGCGCCGTTTTATCTGCGCCGCCTTCTTTTGTAGAAGTTTTCGCCCTTTTTTCCTAGGTCGACATATTTGACATATCCACATGCCTGTAAAAGAATAAAATTCTATACAAAAATGTAGCTACAAATATACTGAGAGATTTCAGCTATTCCAACTCCATAAGGTTAAGGACTAATGTGAAAATCTAATGAAACGCTTCAGGGAAAGAAAAAAAGACAGGAAAACATAAACATATCAGCATCTATAAACAGCTAAAAGAAATTCATACACACCCTCGAAGCTTGCAAATGGACAGGGTCCCTGATTCTCAGTCAAAAATTTCTGCTCTAGCTGGGTGCGGTTGCACATGCCTTTAATTCCAGCAGAAGCAGGTAGATCTCTGTGAGCTCGAGGCCACCTAGTCTGCTTACTGAGTTTTAGAATAGCTAGATACCTAACAGAGACACTGTGTCAAAACAAACAAACAAACAAACAAAAACAAGGGAAAGGAAAGAATGAAATTCTGCTTTGTAAGTAGGACACAGATATTAGCACCTAATTACAATCCTACAATAAAGAGCCAGTTTCTTAGACAAATGATTGATTACAGGACAAGGAAGGGGAAAACCAACAGTTTGGAAGATTATAATGCCAGAAAATAGTCAGAGGGGAACCTCAAAAGGACTTGGCAGTCAACTTGAAGGTGTTTCCAATGGCCAAAAAATTAAAAAAATGAAAAAATCATCCATAGAATAAAAAGCTCATGTGTTGCTAATGATTTAAGCAATTTAATAAATGATTTTTCAGAAGGTGGTAACAGAATTTTGATTAGTCAGTTTAGAAAGAATGTGGACTAGACAGTCACCATTATGCAGATACCACATTAACAACTACATAGGCAAGAAAGATTGAGTTGCTAGGTAATAGGCAACAGGGAAAACCTGGCGGGTTTCTTTATGACTTTAACTAAGTGATCAGAAATAAAGTATATATCACTACTACCTACATGTTGTGATACACTAGGAAGAGCAGCACGTCATCTTATTGTCAAACTTATAAACTTGATCTAATCATAAATGTGCTGAAATAACGGACTAGTACTCTCCAAGTAAGTTAAGGTCAGGAAAGACAGTTTGAATAATTATCACAGGCTGAAGACAATCGAAGAGGTATGACACTAAGTGGGAGATCCTACATGGATCTAGAGAATTCAAATGAGATCTCTAGTTATCACATCTTGACTTTCTGGATTTTGAGTCTTATGATTTTTTGTAAAATGATAACATTAGGCAAGCTAATAAGAAGATAACTATGCTCTACTATTTTTCCAGCTTTCTCTAAGTCTAAATAAATTCAAAACAAAATCTTTCCTGCCATAAGCTGCTATAAAACTCCCTTTGTAGAAGCTAAACGCACAGGAAAGAATTCCTATGAAAATCTCCTTATCTTGAAAGAGTCTCAGGTGGCCTCATATCTCAACTTCAAACAGATGCAAAGGAGAGGTAAAGAGAGTTATTCATGCCAGGCAGTGGTGGCACACAGCTTTGATCCCAGCACTCAGGAGGCAGAGGCAGGCAGATCTCTGAGTTAGAGGTCAGCCTGGTCTACACAGTTGAGTTCCAGGACAGCCAGGACTATACAGAGAAACCCTGTCTTAGCGGGTGTGTGTGTGTGTGTGGTGTGTGTGTGTGTGTGTGTGTGTGTGTGTGTGTGTGTGCGTGCGTGTAAAATACTTAGGGTGTTTCAAACAGTGACAATAGGATGGCACAAGGGTAGCTGAAGGAAGAACTATCAGTGGCTGTAAACTGTGATTGAGTCCCTTTTCACCTCTAAGCAGACATTACCAAATATCCTACAAGTGTCAAATGTAGGAAATTACAAATCAAAATCAAGAGTTCAAATAAGAATCTATGGGCATGTAGTAGGGAAAACGGGGTGCCAACTAAACTGAAACAGTCTCCTGTCACTGCAACCTACTGAGTTACTTCTCTGGACCTTTCTTCTTTCTAAAACAGAAAATGGGGTCACAAAAAGTTACCTAGACTGGCCTTGAATTCACTTTGTTCAGGCAAACCTTGAATGATCCCTGTCTCTCAGGATGCCCAGGAAAATTGGGATTATAGTTCTATGCCACTAGACAAAGCTTGACATTCTCTTTTATAATTGTAAACATATGATCAAATGGTTCTTTATGGAAATCTAACCAAAGAGCAATTATATCCCAGTCAGTATCTCTTAAGGAACAAGTGTCAAAAGAATCTAATAGCATTAAGCCATACCTTATGATTTGGGTACTTATTTGGTTTGAATAAATCATATCTAAGTCTAGGGCCCTGAAAAGCACTGAGCAGAGTTACAGCCAATACATTCTAATACAATTTCATTTTCTCCTTTAGGGCTGGAGAGATGGCTCAGTTGTTAAAAGCAGTGTCTGCTCTTCCAGAGGTCCTGAGTTCAATTCCCGGCAACCTCATTTTCTCCTTTAAAGGAGAGATCTCAAGATACCACACGAGCTAAGTACTTTAGCTTCTAGCTAAAGACAAGCAAGTACTTAAACCTAAACCATTTCTTCCTGCATAGACACTGCAATGTTGAAAATAAGTGGAAATAAATTTTAAAAATGTTAGTAAGTTTAACAGAAAGTATATTCTACCTTTAAGATGTCAGCTGTCTATACAATCTCAAAATAAAAATCAGTTATTTTCTTCATCTTAACAGCAGATAAAATGTGCTTTCACTAATACCCTTTTTCTCAGGGACGTTATATGATTTTTCAGTAAGGATTCTCACCTTTTGGCATCCGTGTGAGTGGCGGATCACAACACTCCATGTGAAAACCTCGGTCACATGAGTCACAAAAGAGCATGTTATCCTTTAAAAAAAAAAAAGAAAGAAAAGAAAAAGGAAAAGATAGTTTTGCTTAACCTTAGGAGATAGAAAAATTTCAGGACTTGTTAAGCCTGGGAAGCTTCAAATATTACCATATTAAAACTTTCCTTAATTAGTATTAACTCAGGAAACAGTCTGAGTTAGCAAAAAGTTTCGCTTCATTCAATCTTGGTGAAGAACTACAGGTTCAATATTTCTTAGTACATTCATAGACAGATAAGAGCTAACCCCAATCTGTCTTAAAAATCAAAAGCATGACTTGTATTTAGGAAAAAAAAACAATAAATAATTCATAAATCAATACCTCTATAGTGCTCAAAAGAATTGGGAGTTTTCTTGAAAACAGTTTATATCTCTGCAAATACATGGTCAAGCTGCTTTACAAATCACCTCGGAGCAGCCTACATTCACGACGACAGTATTCCAAACAAATGATCTCTACCTGGAAAGGGCTACTGAATGGGATAGCCAGAGCAGAGACAAGACACTCACTGCATTTTTGCCTTGATCACGACAAGAGCTGCAGGTTTTACACTCGATGCACTGCCACCTTAAGGCCTTCACTCTCGCTGTCAGTTCTGTGGAAAACTTTAGACAGGATGGATGGCCTAATAAAAGAAAAAAACTTCAGTGATGAAAAATCAAAAGTTATTTTGTAATTATACTATATAAATGGTACAAAAATGGCAATTATCTTAACTATATCAGATAAAGAAAGATACTCCTGGAAGCTTGCCATACAATGTGTCATCAAGACTTGGCACTCCAAGTCAGTTTTCCTAAAACCAAACAGGATTTAGCACATCTGCCCACATTGTAAGCATAAAAATCATATCCAAACTTGTTCTGAGCCTGCATCAAAGTAGTATGCTTGTACACATGCTAGTAATTATATAAATACAAATATGCCCAGGCCACTTCTGAAAAAACACACAAAAACCTATTTATACACATTTTGGTAACACTCTAGCAAATAGAGCTGTAAATATTTTAAAGAACGATTTTGGCTCACATTTATACCCATTTTTATGTCTCATTTTAAAAGTGTTTTAAATTATTTGAGGGTGGATACATGTGTGTCAGAGTTGGAATATAGAAGTTGGAGGGCACTTTTGGAGTTAGTTCCCTCCTTCCACCTTTACATGGGTTCTGATGGGTTACCAGCTTTCAGAGAGAGTGACTTTACTTGCTAAGCCATCTTGCCATTCCAAATACAATTATTGTTGGTATTATTATTATTTATTTACTCACTGTGTGTGAGTACATATGTGAGTACACACAGGCATGAACAAAAGTCAAAGGGCAGTTTACAGGAGTCGGTTCTCTCCTGCCTCAAACTCAGGCTGTTTGCTTGGTGATAAATTCCCTACCCACTGAGCCATTTCACTGGCTATGATCTCACTGTTTAATGGGAACAGTTTAGTTTCATAATTTAAAAATATAGGATAAAAAGACCAAACCTTAAACAATTACATACTTATGATTTAAGCTACAACTAAAAGAAAAGTAGCATTTCTCCTAGGATGAGCGACAACAGCAGCTGGAGGGAGCAGCAGTGGAAAGGAAGGGATGGAGTCTACTCCCACAAATCAGTATCACGTTGATTCTCCAGTTTTCAGACTCAGCTACATTTGTTCATGTTGTGGGATATTTTGGTTGCACTCTGACACTCTCGAGGCTTTATCTCAAATCAGAGGGCAGGACTAGCTACTAGCTAACTGAAATTAGCCATACAGGTTTTGGAGGACCCAGGCCATATAGACACAGGAAGTAGTAGGGTGGAGCTTGGATTCTAGGCCCTTTGGGATCAAGGAAGGATAGAGAAAAAGAGTATGTCACTGGTCACTTCTCCACTGCTTCTCCAATCAATCAGGATTTTACCCCAATATCTGACTCCTGAGTTTTTATTGACCAAGAAATAATTAGATCAATGCTTTAGTTCCAGTGCTTTAACAGTAATCTTTTCTCTTTTCCCCATTTCTAAAGAATCGATGAGGTAGTAAGCTTGTCATCAAAACATGGACACTGAAGAAAAGCAAGAGAGGAAGTGTGGCCTACATACATGATCTCTAATAATAGCCATTTTCATGTTTTACTTTCCTTCTAAAACTAGCTGAAAGTCACAGCTATAGAACACAGAATGTGTAGTTTGTTTTGCTTTTCATTATTTAATTCTAGTAAACTTCACATGTTTTTATTCTTTAAACACATTATACAATACTTATTTGATAAGTGATCACCCCCATGACCATTTCCCTATTGTTAAATACTTACTGGTTGATTTTCAACCGGACACAAACCTATACATATCTTGGAAGAGAGATTCCAAAGTGAGAAAATGCTTCAATAAGACTTGTCTGCAGGGCAAGTGTGTGGGGTGCTATCTTGATTAAAAATTAATGTGGTAAGAGCATCACCCTGGGCAGGTGGTCTCTAGGTGCTTTAAAAAGGCAGGCTGAGCCAGCCAGTAAGCACTGTTCCCCACAGCCTCTACTTGCGTTTCTGCACTGACTTGTTGCAATAATGGACTGTGATGTAAGCCCCCTTTCCCTCTTTCTGCATGGTGCTTGATCCCAGCAATAGAAACCTTAACCCTAGACATCATGGCTACAGGTTTCTCACTTTAAATTAACACTATGAGGGTGGGGGAACCTCCCAGAAGGAAGACTGGTAAATGCAATGGCATTTTCAATTGTACTGGTTTAAATGTACGGGTAAACATTTCCAAGTCATGCTGTAATGTCCAGTGCCAGTAACCAAGTATGAACACTTCATTGCACTTCACTCGAGTATGCACTGAGCTTCCAATACATACTGTTTTAAACTCTAAAACTTACATTTGGCATGCATTCTTGTCATTCTATAGGTAAAGCTCTTTTTATATGTTCAGCAATTGCTTTCATTTATGTAAGGTGCTTGTTCACAGACTCTTTAGAGTTCATGCTTAGAAAAGTATTTTTTTTAACTCATATAGCTTTGAATCTTTCCCATACATAATGTAATTATTTTCCCCAAAGTATTCTTGATCTTTTTATTAAGGGTTATTGATGTATTGTTGTGGGATATTTGATCACACTGCGACCCCCGGGTTTGTGTCTGCATTAATTAAATAAAATCAACATTGGGTCAGGAGGCGGAGTGATCAACTAGTTGACAGAAAATAATCATAGAGAATCATAGGGTCTCTATAAGACGACAAAGAGACGCATAAGAAGTACCAGGGAGGGACTTAGAGTAGCATGGGTTCTGCAGGAGTGGAGTACACTCTCTTTCATAGATGGTGGCAAAGAGAGAAGGCCAACTAGTTGCTACTCAACCTCTCTGAGCTAGCAGGTTTTCACTCCAGCCTTTGTCTCCTGAATCTTACTGATAAACAGAACGACAGAGATTTAATAAAAACTCTACTTGGTGGCAGCAACATGGCTGGTGCCTGCGGGAACAAAATTCCCACCAGGCCAAGGCCTGAGTAGTCGGGCCACTGGCAGAGAAGCAAGCCAGTAACTGCAAAACCATATTTGTTGGCTAAACAGCAAGAGATTAAAGTGCAGCCCCTGTGCCTGCAGAAAAATAACATGTTTTAAAATATTTTAGAAAATGTCAATTTACAGATGTGACTATGCTCATGCTTTCTTCCTTAATCACTGTTATAGCCAGTTTCCAAACTGCCTTTCCCCCCTAAGTAGATGTGTTCTCACAATGAAGTAGGGTTGATCTGAAATGACAGCATGGCTTCTACACAGCCGTTACAGAAGATACTCAAGATTCTTCCTTGTTTTTTGTGGATGTGCTCAGAGAAAGCCAGCTGCTATGTTGTGGATATTCACACACAGCATCATCTACAGGTCCACATGGCAAAAAACTGAGGATTCTTTTCACCAGGCAACAGCCTTAATTTGCGGGCCAGGTAAATGAGCCATCATAGAAGCTTTAGGTGTCTGAAATACCAATTAAAATCCTAAGTATATCCTCATAAGATATCAAGTCACAGTGCCCAGATAAGCCACTTCCAAATTCCCAAGGCACAGAAACAGTATAAAATTAAAATGTCTATCATTGATAAGCTGCAAAGTCTTAGTTTAATTTATTTCTGTAGCAATAAACAACTGCTATTATTATTTTTATAGATTTAAAAAAACTTGCAAGTAAACACACACACACACACAAAGACAAACAGATCCAAAGTCTACATGTCTCAGTGAGTATATATAGTTAAAAGTCACTGGACTAGACGCTATGGAACTTCACACTGGATTTTACACTTTCACTACCAAATACACTTTTATGAATTTACCCACTATCAAAAGTAAAAAAAATAAAAAACCCATGAAAGAGTTAGTACTGGAAAAACAATTAGCTTTATATTCTCTTTCATAGCTCATAAAATTAATTTCTGAGAAGAACTCCATTACTAAAATAGGAAATCACTGCATTATACAACATGCTGCTATATTTTTATCTAACCACTGTTTTTTTTAATAGCTTTTGTGTTTTACTATAAAACCTACCCAGAGTTCGCTTTTGCTTATGATATTGTACTATTTATGGTCTTTCAGCACTCAAGATTTATTCCCATCTTCTTCTAATGCTTCTATAAATAAAAACTCAAAAGCTTGAGCTGGGATGTAGCTCACTTGGTAGAGCACTTGTCCACCATGTGTAAAGCCCTGGGTTCCAGTGCACTCCAAAGCAGAAACTTATACTTACAGGCACCTTCCCACTTAGACTCTAGGAGTAAAATGCACTCTGCCATCTGGGCATGCTCAGGGGATCTTTGAGGTAAAAATGAGACAACAGTAGTCTTCCTTCTCTAGCATTATTTCCTAACAATAAGCAGAGTCATGAAGAAAACAGTGTTCTGGTGTCCTGTAGATAATAATGACAGCCAAATCGGCATCTCAGGACCAAGAACTCACAACTTTTAATAGAGCCTTCCTATTTCCAGTTCTCCCTACTAGAAAAATACAGGACAGCTTTACAGCCTGGTAGTCACTTCTGCAGGAGTCTTAGGCTCCAAAGCCTAACTTATCAGCACTTCCAATGATTTCATAAATACCTAATTCCAACATTAACTTCTTTAAGTACCTACCACAACTTCTGTATTCTGGTCCAAATCCTGACTGTTACTGTTAAAAACACTGAAAATGCAAACAATGATAAAGACAATGCTGCTTTATTAAAGTTGTCCTGCAACATCTTGTAGATCCCTAAATATACAAGATAGAGTAAGAATATCTCTGGAATGAGGATATTAGAAGACTCAGAAAAAAATCTTTCTATAGGCTCAGGATTTCATAGGTACAATAATCTCCAATGTCACCAAGATGTGACAATCTAGAAAAACAAACCTTCTCTCTTTCTGGTCTATGCATGAAGTCTGATACAAATAAAGAAAAAAAAAAGTAGTGAGGTTGCATGTGTGTGCACACCTGCATTCAGCTGCAGCTCCTGAGGAGTCATTCACATGTTTTGAGACAGGGTCTCTTACTGACCTGAGGTCATTAAATCGGCTAGGTTGTCCAGCTAGCAAGCCCCAGGGATCGCCCTGTCCCCATCCCACAGTGCTGAGATTACAAATGCACACTAGCATACTTGGCTAAATGTTACACTGGCTCTAGGGATTAGATTGGGTCCTCAAGCTTGTGCATCAGCCTGAAGTGTGTTTATTTAAACAAACAAACAAACAAACAAAACACTTTAAACTGACTGCGGGATTTCAACAGGCACTTAATATGAAATATAAAGATCAGAAAAATATAAGTTCACAGAACATTTACTAAAAACACCTGAAATACTAAAATTAACTAAACATTTCAGCCATTCAAATTCCTCTGTAGTGTAAAAGCTCAACTCAGAATTAAGTTAAAGCACGCTTTTGGCAAAGATAAAAAAATACCAACTCATTTAGGCAACCTTCTCCTTGTCTTGCAGATGTGTTAGAAGGCAAACAGGAAGCCACATACCACTATTGCCACAGTCTGCGCAGGAGATGAGTTCCTCAGGCTTCTTTTCCCGGTTTTGTTCTTTTGTACCAAGACAGAAACTACAGATGGGTATTGGTTCAGCAACTGGCTGCAGAGAAAAACAGAATTGATTCCACTACTAGTACATTTTTTAGAAGTAACATAAAATTAAAATTAGTTTTACATTCTATTCTGAGTTTACATAACTTTGGGACAATTATATCACTCTTCCTAAAATCCCTACTTAGTAAGTTTTCATAAAGCTTGCTTTTAGCCAAGGTGTAAGCACAAAACTAATTATATCTAGGATCGGATCATTATCTGGGATACATGTGATCTGGAAAAACATATACAAAAGCATAATATAAGACAGAACACAGTTAAGTACTATAAGAAACAAGAAATAAACACTACTACTCTATGTAGTACTGGCCTAAGAGAGAAATTCCCACTGTGATTTGGAAGACAAGATAGGGTACATTTACCACTTCCTCCACTCCTGTTAATGAGTACTTAGTAAGCTGGTCAAGTGACAAACACATAGAAGCAAAGTGTCTATTTCACCTTCAAAGTGCTTCCCTCTACCCCATACTTGAAATGGAGAGAAGGCAATACAGTTATTATCAATAGGAAGGACTCTGATGTACACAATGCTAAAGCCAGTTTTAAGTGCAATGCTTCTGTGTAAGGGAGGAAAACCAGAGAGAAACAAAACAAAACAGAAAAGGGCTAAATCACTTTGTAAAACTGAAGAAATTGATCTTTTCAAATCAAGAGAATGTATACATTAAATATTTTCCACTTATGTTTAGTTTTAAAGATTTTTTTAATGTATATGAGTACTTTGCTGGTAGGAGGTATATATGTGCATTTGTACATGCCTGGTACCTAGAGACCAGAAAAGGCTGTCAGATCCTCCAGAACTGGAGTTACAGATGGTTATGAACCCCCATGTAGTTCCTAAGATTTGAACCTGGGTCCTCTGCAAGAGCTGTACGTTCTAAAACACTAAGCCATCTCTCCAATCCATTATTTTCAACTTTTTTTTTTTTGAGAAAAGGAAAAAAACAAGTTTCCGCCTCCTCCCAGCCTCCCATTTCCCTCCCGCTCTTCCCACCCTTCTCCCCCTCTCCCCACTCCTCTCCCCCTCCCTCTCCAGTCCAAAGAGTATTTTCAACTTTTATACATAAACTATATCCTTAAAAGGCTAAACGTAATTTACAGTTGAAGAAAGGAATGAGACTCTTCCCCAATCACTGTGTGTGTCCGTGTGTGTGAGTGCAGGTGTGTGCCATTGCATGCATGTGCAGGTTGGAAGAAAACTTCAGTTATTTTTGGTCCTTGCCTTCTCCCCTTTGAGAAAGGGTTCCTGTTGCTTGCTCCTGCATTCACCAGGGTAGTTTAGCCCATGAACTTCAGGGTATTCTGTCTCCACTGCCCACCTGACTGCAGGAACCTTTATGTAGGTGCTGGAGATCCAAACTTGGGTACTTACGCTTGCCTAGGAAGCACTTTACCCACTAAGCTATCTCTCAAGACTTGGATTTTATTCTTCAGGCAAAAATAAAATAAAGTAATTAAAAAAAAAGAGCAATAAGAAGTTAGTGAGCCAGATGAAGCTGGCTATGTAGCTCAGTTGGTAGAGTACTTGCCTAGCACGCATGAAAACCTGGCACTGATCCCTAGCACCACATACAGGTGAGGCAGCACACACCTGTAAAACTAACACAGGAAGGCAAAGGTAAGAAGTTTAAGGTCACTCTAGGTTACACGGAATTGATGGTTTTTCCCAGGAATAACAGCTAAGACCAAAAAAATTAATGTTTTAGTGGCTAGTAAAATCTTAAAAGAGAAACAGATATGGAAAAGTTGGGTATAATATTGACACATTTAAAAATCATTTTAAAATAACCAACACAACTGTGCTAATAACAGTGTGGAGTGGAAAGATCAAATGAGAGGTGAACAGCTAGAAGTTGCCGTAATTAATACTATGGGGTGGAGAAGGCTACCACGGCTTTTCCTTAAAAAGGAATAGGGAACAAGAACTAAAGGTAGGGCAGACTTCATATAGGAGTGAAAATTTTAAGAAGTAAACTGTAAAGGCCTAGAACACAGGCAGACTGTAGTTCATAAATATGGGGTTTATGGTATGGCCTCTAATGTCCCACTGCAAGATTTTAAGCAGAGAGGGATGGTGTGATGGCTATTCTTGGTTGTCAACTTGACTATATCTGGAATGAACTACAATTCAGAAATGGAGGGCATGCTTGTGATGCAGATCGTGAGGCAAGAAGACAACATGGTTTTGATCTACATCTTGAGCCAGAAGACACACCTTAAATATGGACCACACCTTCTGTTAGAAGCGAGGCCTGCCCTTGCCTTGTCAGCTCATCCACTCCTTCACTGGCACTGGAGCCTACTTCTTTGGGATTCCAGCATAGACAGAAGACCAGCAATAAACACCCAGCCTCATGGAACTGAGCAACTACTGAAGCCAGGTGCCTTTCCACTGTCAGCTATGTGACATTTGCACCTTTTTTCTTTTGGTTTTTCAAGACAGGGTTTCTCTGTAGCTTTGGAGCCTGTCCTGGAACTAGCTCCTGTAGACCAGGCTGGTCTCAAACTCACAGAGTTTGCTTCTACCTTCCAAATGCTGGGATTAAAGGCATGCACCACCACCACCCAGACATTTGCACCCTTTAAAAGTGCCGGTCAAAGCACGGCTGGCTCTCTGGTCTCTAATCTCTCTTATCTCTTGCTCCTCTTGGTCTTTTCTTTCCTCTCTTACCTCTTCTTTTCTCTCTTGTTTCTCTTCCTCTTGTCAGTCTGCCTCTCTCAAGTTTCCACTTTGGCATGGCCTTTCACTCTTCCAATCTTCCCCAATAAACCTTTTGCACTAACTCTGTTGTGTGTGGTATTTGTTTAGTGGCATACTTTGGCAAGGTCTACCAAAAAGGTACTCACTTTGCCTTTCTTTTTTATTTATTCTTTCATTGCAAGATTCTTGGACTTTTAATCCACAACTAGCCATTATTCATTATTGGATTGTAGCCTGTAAGTCATTCCAATAATTTCCACATATATGGGAACACACACACACACACTCTCTCTTTATATATGTGTGTGTGTGTGTGTGTGTGTGTGTGTGTGTGTGTATATATATATATATATATATATATAGAGAGAGAGAGAGAGAGAGAGAGGTGCGTGTGTATATTGATTTTCATTCCATAAATTCTGTGACTCTAGAGAACCCTAACAAATACAGACAGATGGTGGTGGTTTGAATGAGAATGGCTGCCATAGACTCATATATTTAAATGCTTGGTTCCTAGCTGGTGAACTGTTGGGAAGGATTAGGAGTTGTGGCCTTGTGGATGAAGCGTGTCACTGGGAGTGGGCTTTGAGATTTTAAAAGCCCACAGTAGTCCCAGAGTCTCTCTCTTCCTACCCATCACTCACCTCACCCTGCTGCCTTTGGATCAAGATGTAGAGCCTTCAGCTACTTCAACAGTACACTGCCTGCTGCAACACTTCCCACCATGATGATTATGGAGTATCTCTGAAACTGTAAGAAAGCTCGCATTTCTCTTCCTTGTGATTGTTGTCTCAACATGTATACTCTCACCAGCTCCAACACCATGCCTGAACCTGCCTGCCTGCTGCTATGAAGAGACTCACCTTGTGAAGCTACACTAAATGCTTGCTTTGATAAGCTGCCTTGATCATAGTGTCAATTCACTGTGACAGAAAAGTCACTGAGACAAAAGCATGGCCAAGTTTTTATAAACAACTTTTATGAATATCACACATAGTAAGTATGATATTTAAGTAGTTCTTACAGTGTCACCAACAAGCACTGTCTATGTGTAGTGAGGTTGTTTTTGCAAATGTTTCAGTCTGGTCTCCTTGCTGTCCTTTCTTTCCTTCCAACACCTATAAACACTGGTGTTCCTCATCTTTGACATCCATTTTCCTATTCCTTACTCTATTCTTTTCAATCCACTCGATCTGACTAGGTGCTTTCAGTTATCATCTGCTTGTTGATGTCATTAAAATTCTTCTCTAGACCATTGTCTCTACTAAATTCTGAACATTAATAGCCAAATCACCACTGATATTTCTTTTAAATAATCACATTTCTATCAATGTTTATTCATTTCTTTAAATGTAAACGTTAACTTTCTAATTAAAACATACAAGTACAGACTGTAAGTGTACTCCCTAAATTATTATGTAATCAATACCCATAGAACCAGCACCCAGGTCACATGAACATTAGACCTCAGCAATCCTTCCCAATATGCTACTTCTTCCTTTCTTCCCAGGGACAGCCATCCTGACATAGTAGTATAGAACTGTGATTGAAAAATAAAATATTGATTGTATTCTGCACTTGGATACCTTATTACACAGAATACCAGTGCTTGTGTGGACACCGTAAGAACTACAGTAAGAAATGAACACTGTTATAAAGGGAACAGAAAGCAGACAAGAAATCGAAAAAAAATGTGGCTTCAATATATGGCATGAAAGGTAAACCCATTTTATAAAGTGGAAGAGTGGATAGAACAGTCAAATATGCAAACAAACAGGTAGAGAAACAAGTAGGAACACACTACAGAACAAGGCCTATAGCTACTCTTACTTGTGCTTATTAATTCTAAATAAGCTGAATTTCCAGCCATAGTACTCCAAGTACACAACATATATCTAGTAACAGCTAACAGTAACAAACAACGGTACAGAACGATTTCGTTCCTAGCAAAGGTTTAGGGAAAAGGGTGACTTTTAAAGTGCAGGTAAAGACTGGTTTTAACAATGTAGAGTAGTGCAGAGATATATGTGCCTTGGGGCAGGAATAGTAAAAATGGGGAAAGCTAAACATGCCATTTCTTATAGTTTTACTTATTTCTGGAAAATAAGAAATAAAATTGGGGCTAGATTTTTACTTCAGTGGTAGAACACTTCCCTGGGTTCAGTCCTCAGCTTCAGGAAAAAGGAAAGAAGGGAGGAAGGGAGGGAAGTCAACTGCCAAAAGTGTGTCATGAATCGGCTAGATGGAACATTCTACAACACAAGAAAAGCAATGATAGAAGAATT